AGAAACATTGATGAGAGAGAAACATCAATAAGCTGCCTCCTGCACAACCCCCACTGGGGATGTGCCTGCAACCAAGGCACATGCCCTTGACCGGAATCGAACCTGGGACGCTCCAGTCTGCAGGCCGACGTTCAATCCACTGAGCCAAACTGGTTTCGGCAATACTGTGTTCTTCTAAGAACTGAGGCTGACTGCACTGATGATGGAAAAAAGCATTCCTTTGACTTTCTTTTAGCAAGAAAACCCACATAGTTCTAGTTAGCAAAAGCACCAGAGTGAATACTTGAGATACTCTTTATGTGAGGGTAAACAGCTATTTTCATATTCTTTACAATAATCTTTATAATGTAAGAAATCATAAAAATGTAAGAAGCCTCAAAATTTGACTTCAATAATTCCTTAAATTTTTTTGCTCATTTGCTTTTCAACTTAAAGTGACAACTATCACCTAGTTTCTTAAAATACTTTAATTTTACAAAAAGAAACATTTCTTGCCTTTGAAACTTTTGTCATCTAGTATTTCAAGTATATACCCACAATAATTAGATGATCTAAGGGGGGGAGGGGAGCATAGATTTATGGAAAAATTAATTTAAAGGTAGCCTATAGATGGTTAGTGGGTAATACTTCACAGCACCATTTAAATACATGCCCCACAGTAATTAGAAAAAGCAAGAAGAGAAGCTTAGTAAATAACAGACCTAAACAAGATTCTGAAATACGTGAAAATGGTTTCTTAGATGGACACCTGGTCTCTTTTGTCCCTTAAGAGTTTCTAGAGAGCAGAGAGATCCCTCCCGAATTCACCTCTCTTCTAGAGGTAGTAATCAGGACTCTGCTTCTTCCTCCTGCTATGAAGCTCATCAACCTCATAGGCAGACGGAAGGCCCAGGCTTAGGAAGGTTTAAACACTGCCACTCAATGTAGAGGGCAACTTCCACAGATGGGACAAGAGACACAGTTATAACTACCCATGTCAACTGTAGCTTCAGATCTTAGACAACTGTCTCAGGACAGGCAAACATTAACAACCAGAGGAGTCACCCAAGTCCCTTAAAATTACATAAGAGGAGGAGAGAAAATGGCAGCCGAATAGGCAGATCCCATTTCTAGGAACACAGTGGGTCCTCCGGTTACGTCGGAGTTCCATTCCTATGGCGCAATGCAACACAATTTTCGCTGTAAGTCAGAACCCACCTACATAAATACCTACATCACTCACATGGAGCACATACACAGCAGTAATGAAGTAAAACAGTAAAAAAAAAAAAAAAAAAAAAAAAAAAATTAAAGGAAGATAACAATTCCTGACTTTTATTTGTGGTAAATAAATAATAAAAAACAAAGCACATATGTACATACGTCAAAATGACAGAACTTTTATATCAATAAATGGGAGATGGCAATGTAACCACGAAATGACGAATGCCGAGGCCGATGTAACCCGAAGGCTGTCTGGATATCCTAAGAAACCCACAACACCCATCAGAAAGAAAATATGCAGCCCTATGTTCACAGCAGCACAAATTACAATAGCTAAGATTTGGAAACAGCCCAAGAGCCCATCAGCAGATAAGTGGATAAAAAAGCTGTGGTACATTTAAAAATAGAACACTATGCAGCAGTAAAACAAAAGGATCTCTTACCATTTGCAACAGCATGGATGGACCTAGCGAGAACGACAAGCGAAATAAGCTAGAGAAAGGTAAGTATCACATGATCTCACTCATATGTGGAATCTATTTAACAAAATAAACTGACGAGCAAAATAGATCCAGAGACATAGAACCATGGAACAGATTGATGAATTTCAGCAGAATATGGGGTGACAGGGGAGAGATTAACAGGGGAACTTATATGCATATATGTATAGGCCATGGACACGACAATAGTGTGGTGAAGGTTTGAGAGGGGCGAGTGAGAGGTAGAGGGGGATAATCAGAAAAAAAAACACAAAGGGGACATCTGCAATTCTTTCAACAATAAATTTTAAAAAAAATTATATAAAGAGCCAAACAATTGTTGCAGGACATCTTTAAACAAAACCACAGATGCTTACCAATGTTTAAAATTTTTAACATTCATAGCCATTAAGTTCAAGCATCAGACTTCTTTGCAAAAAGCAAGTTTTCAGTGTTCTTGTTCAATAAAGTTCCTTTGGCAATTTCAGCAAAGAACATACCAATTCATTTGGAATTATCTGCATTTACTTTAGGCTTTAGTGAAATTAATGGAAATACAAAACTAGCTGCTATCAATCTGAGAAAATGTTTAAACAGAAAAACTTTAAAGATTTCAATATAAACATTCCACAAATTTCAAATAGTAAGTTAACAAATTTTTTAAATGTCACAAAGTAAATAGGAAATTAAGGCCATCATAGTCCCAATTTTACTTATTCTTAATGGCTACTTGAAAGCTTTTTCCCTACCTTCTCCAATTGGCTCAGATAGAAGGGTAAAGGACATGTATTGCTTTATTTCCCTCAGAACCAATTAGTGTGTTTATACCAAATTTAACATCATTTGGCCTTAAAAAACTCGTTTCTTTCATTCCCCTTCTGCTCACCATGCAGTGGTTTCTGCAGCATCCTCATGCCACTTGCTCTGGGCGACAGGGAACTGTGGAAACTGGAAGCATGTGTCTTTGAATCTGAGTATCACTAGCACCTCCAGACTAGACTGCTTCCCACCTCATCTTTGTAGTTTTTAGTCTTGTTCTCCACACACAGCTAGCCATCTGTATTTTTTATTGTTGATAGTATTACAGGTATCTCCCCACCCCTCTCCCTCTTTCCTCCCAGCCCCCCACCCCCTGTCCTACTGCCCTGTCCATGGACTATGTATATAAGTAAATTCTTTGTCTTCCCAATTTCCCAGCCAGCCATCTTTAAAAAACGAAAAATAACTATTCCCCATTTAAAACCTCCCAACGCTGCCCACTGACACTAGAATAAAATCCCAACTTCTTACCACGGTCTATTAAGTACTGTATGAATTGCCTGGCCCTAGGCTCTCTCCCCCTCTCATTCTCTAGCTCCAGCCATACCAGCCCTTTTGTTACTTGGCCACGCCAAGCATCTCACCAACTCAGGAACTTTGTACTTGCTTTCTTTTCCTCATAGACTTTCCCCTGATCCTCAAGGTCATTCAGGTCACAGCTGAAACAAGCCCATCCCAGAGGGACTTTTCCATTCTAAAGTTGCTAGTGCCCTTTTACCCCAACCCCCTTTCACCACTTTCTGGAATATTTTTTAATACCATGTATTATACATGACATTGTATTCTTAAAAAAAAATAAAAAATAATAAAAATCTCTTCCACTCCGGTAGCAGCTCCCCAAGAGAAAGATCACTTACCTTCTGATAAGTATCCCTAGTATCTAGAGTACCTGTTAGAGGAAACACATCTGTTGATTGAATAAGCGAATAAACAGCTGTGTGACTCTGGGTAAATTAAGCTCTGAGATAATATCCAAACAAATGAAAAACAGCAAACAGTTTAATTTGTCACTCATTCAAGCCCCTTCCTGGGCTCACTACTTTCCCATAAATTAGAAAGAAAACCTAACAAGATCAGCAGCCCAACAGACAGACATGAAGTAGGCTTCAGATTTGTTTAATAGGCCAGCATTCCAGCAACATGAAAATAGGCTTCCAGGCAGACACCAAGTTGTGTTCAGATTCTTTAATGTTCATTTTAGATCAGAGTAAGGTAATGTCTTGAGAATAGCAGCTTAAACACCAACTCAGTAACTCTGAGTTACTGAGAAAGTAACTGGGAAAGTTAAAGAAAACTAAAACCAAAACACAGACCATAAAGAAAGGAATGAGTGCCCTTTAATTTTAGAGACTAGTTAATATTTGACTAATCAACAAGACATTTAAAGAAAACCTGAATTAAATTTAGCAAAATTTAAAAATCCTTCTTTGTACTTCTGTTTAAAAAACATTTCTACCACTTTTTACTATCATTTAATTACTGTTTTGCATCAAATTTTGGAGTTTTTCATGCATTGATACTAATACTTAGCCTAAACCTACAGGTTCCTGAATATTTTAGATAACAGTAAATATTCTAGATTACAAATTTGGTATGAAAAACTTTAATGAAAATATTAAGCATACAAAAATTAAATAACAAAACCATTTAAAATGACTTACAATTTAAACAGATTTGGCTTACTGACATTTCTCTATCAGCTTTTCATAAGAACTGATTATTTCCAGATAAAAAACTACTTAAAAGAGTACCGTGGTAAGAAAAAATGAGAATAAAGTACATAAAGCTCATAAGCCCTGTGCTCAGCACATAGTGCTCATAAATATTAGTTTTTCTTTTATTATTACTTTGAAAAGACACAAGTTTTATAAAACATGCCAATTTCGGTTGAAAGCTTCTTACACTAGAAATACCTACATGTGAGGAGTCTAGTTTGGCATATTTTGAAAACAGTATTTTCCTCTAAGGAACACAGTACATAAAAATTTATTTCAATAACTGATAAGCCAGTTTCTGGAATCTAATTATATAACTTCATATTACAATTTAAGAGGTCTTTTAGAGAATTGTCTTTTTTATTAAAGTACAAAGTTACATGATGAAGAAAAGTACCTTCTAATAAGTAACCAAAATATTATAAAATATTCCTCTTACAGCACATGTGGCTCAGTTTCATCTTAATTGGGGTTGGGGGTTGGTTTGAAATTGTAAATAAAAAAACTATGTTAATTCAAGGAAGCACAATGAACAACTAACATGCTACCCTGCCACAACCTATGCCTTATGAAATATTTTATCATTTCAGTCATGCTTTTAATGTCAAACAATGTTATATTGCCACTTCTCATATGTTAATTAAGATAAAGCTTAACATTCTATCCTTCTAACAGAGAGATGAGTGTGAATACATAGCATGTTGTACAATATACACTTTCTAACATTCCAAACTTAACAATGTGTCTAAATCCAATTTGAGGTATATTAACAGATCGAAGAATTTTAAGCCGCACCAGGGGCTATGTACCATGCAAACCCTAACACCAAAACTGCACACACTGGGAGGAGATGATATTTATACTTCTGCCACAGTGTTGGCTCAACTGCCACTTCATCTTTTTTCCTGTTCTTCTTCCGACGACCCTTCAGTCTGTTTTCAAAAGCCTCCAGTTCAGCCTAAATCAAAATAGTATCATTTTTATTAAATCCAATACATACCTTATCTTGAAATCTTCTACTTAGATAAAAATAAATCAATTTGGGAAATGTTTTAGTAGTAATGGTATGTAATAAATACACTGATTTGATTTTTTGTTTTAAACTCTCTACTACTAGTTGTATTCAACAAGTCCAGAGTTTAGGAATGCAGTGCTAAGAGATGCCCAACGAGAATAGCTCTAGTTTCTTACAATGTTGATAAATAACATTAGTGGCTTGTGTAGAAATTCGAGTAAAGAGAGAAAAAAGCCAACAGAACTCATTATTCTCTTGATAAAACACAGTTAAAATTATAGAATAAAAATTCTTCTGGAGAAAAATGCTTCATGCTTTAAATCAAATGACTATTTTAGAAAGTAAATTATATAAAAACTACTTCTAAAAAAAGGATAACTGAATAACACTCATTATAAAATATGGAGTTTTATTCTACTGTTAAGAACTTCTTAAACTTTAATACATAATAATGTAACATGCACTGTTATTAACTAAAACTTACCGGTAATTAAAATACATATGTAACATGCATGCAAGATTCTGTAAATGTTTATTAATAGTAGAAATATAAAATTTAGTTAATACTCCATTATTTTGTCTATAAACTACATTCGAATACCTAATCGTGTACTTAATTAAATAAAAACTAACATTCTTCAATGAACCAAATTGTCAGAATATTGTCAGGTGGCTGCTGATATATAGAAAATCAAATTATATTAAAAGCAGTTAAACATGAGAAACACTGACAATAAAATAACTGATGGCTTAATAATGATCCACGGACAATGCTTATAGTTTAAATTATGTTCTATATATTCTATTTAAAAGGTCAGTAAATAGGAAATATATTTGAAATCACCATCCATAATGGTTTATAAAAAGGTGAGGGACACCCTAACCTATTAATAATTTAATCTCCCAGGAATTCAGCCAACATTTTTCACTATATTACCTCTGACAACTCATTTTGGGATATTAGCAAATCAACTTTATAGAACCATAAAATACCATAGGTCATTTTGGCCCATATTTCTAATATCCTCTCTCAAGTCATGCAAGTTTTAATTTCCTCATTCATAAAAGCAGCATTTTAACATATATTGTACCCTGCTTGATAAGTATAAAGCATCCCAAAATGCAAATTAACAAATAATTACATGTCACTATAAGAAAGTTAAGCCAATCTTTGGAGAATATGACTAATATAGTACTTGAACAAACTAGATGTATCAGGAATGAATTCGTTATCTAGGTAGTAACAAAGATCATATAATAATCCTACTTTTAAGAATCTATGGGGTCCTAGCTGGTTTTGCTCAGTGGATAGAATGTCAGCCTGCTGACTAAAGGGTCCCAGGTTCGATTCCAATCCAGGGTACATGCCTGAGTTGCAGGCTCAATTCCCAGTAGGGAATGTGCAGGAAGCAGTTGATCAATGACTCTCTTTCATCACTGATGTTTCTATTTCTTTCCTTCTCCCTTCATCTCTGAAATATCTGTCTATACTAATAAAAGGATAATATGCTAATTAGACCAGGAGACCTTCTGGAAGTCCTTCCAGAGAAAGCCATGGTGGCAGGGCTGAGGCAGAGGTGGTTAGGGGTGATCAGGCCAGCAGTGGAGGGGCAGTTGGGGGCGAGCAGACTGGCAAGGGTGGGGACAGTTGGGGGCAAGCAGCGGGGAAGTTGGGGGTGAGCAGGCCAGTGGGTGAGGAGGGGCAGTTGGGGGTGATCAGGCCGGCAGGCAGAGTGTTTAGGGGTGATTAGGCAAGCAGGCAGGTGAGCAGTATGGAGCCAGTGGTCCCAAATTGCAAGAGGGATGTACAATTGCCAGTTTGGGCCTGATTCCTGTGGGACATCCCTCGAGGGCGTTCCAAATTGGAGAGGGTCAGGCCACTAGTTTACATATATATTGAAAAGAATCTAATGAAGACAAAGGAGAATGTATTATTAACACACAGATGTTATGGTTAGTAAACAGGACTTACTTGCTACACATAATCTACAACTCAGTAAAACAGAACTCAAATAATTTTAGATAAGTGAAGACATGGGCTCCAGGAAATGCCTTAAAAAGACTGGCACTGCACCCCAACCCTTTCCCCACAAACCAAAAGAGGAATTAAAACTCTTTGGCTGGTGAATGGATGAAATTGGCAAGGAAGTAAAGGAAGAACATTGGGAATATATAAAATATCTGGGAATATGCGAGATCCTGTGCTTCTTCAGAGGTACAGTGTACCTGATTAAAATAAGTGAATGGCATACTTTAATGTATGAACTATATTATTTTCAGTCCAGAGTTGACTAGCCCATAGTTTGTATCTAGAATGTACTTTGTGTTTGAATAAAAACTAACAATGATGCAAAGAAACACAACCCTGGGTGTTCTGTTCAGTTACCTGGCGTCTTCGATTTTCCTCTTCCAGTGCAGCTTTGGCTTCTGCTTCTTTTATCTGTTTGCAGACATTTAAAAGTAAAGTAACACACTGTAATTGTCAATTCTATATAGAATGTTAGCATCATCTCACTGAGGCTTCACAAACCCATAATGACTTCTGGAGGATGTATACTGGCAGTTATTTAAAGAAATGTAAATATTATAGGTAAAAGTGTTACCAAGATACTGTCTAACAGACTGGGGGTGAGGAGAGATGGAATGTAATACCTTCTATAAACACTTCAAATTAACTATAACAGATATTAGATCACAATTCAAAGAGCTACAATAGTAGTAATTGAAATGCTTTTAAAATGTTTTTTTCGCCGATACCGGTTTGGCTCAATGGATAAGAGCGTCGGCTTGGGGACTGAAGGGTCCCGGGTTCGATTCAGGTCAAGGGCATGTACCTTGGTTGCGGGCACATCTCCAGTAGGGGGTGTGCAAGAGGCAGCTGATCAATGACTCTCATCGATCTTTCTAACTCTGTATCTCTCTCCCTTCCTCTCTGTACAAAATCAATATTTTTTTTAAAAAATGTTTTTTTCTTCTTTAGAGTAATCATAGTAACAAGCTATACTCAAAATTATTCAATACCACTCTCTTTCTGGAATTACAATTGATCATTTACTTTAAATGTCTTGAAGGGAAACCTTACTTTCAAACAAAATCAATGGTTCACTCATGGACTGGGTTGAGTGCAAGAAAAAAATGACATAAGAGATAACCCACACAGCAAAGAATCCTAAAACCTTATTTTTATATTATTTTAACCTAATTTTCATGAGGTTTACACTAATATGAAGATGAACAACCATGTCCCAGAACACATACTCTAACTGGTTAAGAGAATGGAAAATCTAGTACACATTAGACAATAAAAAGCACACCTCAAGATTCAAAGTAGGTCTTTAAAACCAGGTTTTAATTATAAAAGCAAAAAAGATGAGCTTTCAAGTCATTCACAATAAGCACATAAAGAAATGCACACAATAAATAGGGAAAGGCCATTAGCACATTGAAAGTTACATTTACTGTAATGTGGCAGTACCTCAGAGGCTTTCCGCTTCATTTCCTTGCACGTTGCATCACATTCTATTGAAATCTGATTTTCACGTACTTTGTTGCACTGAAACTCCTAACAAATGAAAGTTTTTACACTTCAGATTTTAAGGTTTTTCTCTTCTAACTGTATGTCATAAGAAAGCAAAATGTCCCTAAGAGCTTAAGGTTATGCAAATTATTTAACAGACATGTTCGTTAATATTTAATAATTTGATATGGTTGCAAGTATCAAATCTCTCAGTTCAAAGAGTGATAATTATTTTATTTTCCCTTAATTACAAAAAAGCAAATACCATAAAATTACTAATACCATAAAATACCATAAAATTACCATCCACTTACTAAATACAACTATTGAGAAAGGTCAATTTTTCTTTATTGTTTCTTGTTAATCTTGTAAAGCTTCCAGGGAATAAAATGCTCCAGAGCAGTCCATCCAGCAGCTTTCTGAGATGCTGGAAATATCCTAAATCTGCACTAACTACCCAACCAAATAGCACCAAACATATGTGGCTACTGAGCATTCAAAATGTGTCTAGTGAAAGGAGAAAATGAAAGTTTAATACTATTTACTGTTAATTCATTAAAATTCACACTTAAGTAGCCACATGTGGCTAGTGGCTACCAACTCAATGTAATTCTAGAGAGTTTTTGAAAGAGCTACAAATTTTTCTCTCAACTAGTAAACCTTTGTTCAGTTTAAATTAAAATTTTTCTACAGTTTGTATTTGTGCTTCACTGCCTCCTTAATGAAACAGAGGAGGATCTTAATGACTTGATATCAATACTATAATCAATTTGTGTACTATGCTATAATGAATCCTATGGGATCAGGCCGAAATGGGCTCTCTGACATCCCCCAAGGGGTCTCAGATTGCGAGAGGCTGAGGGACCCCTGGTGCATGATCGTGGCCAGGGAGGAACATGGGAGGCTGGCCAGCCAGGGAGAGACTTTGGGAGGGCTCCAGGGATTTTCTGGCCTGTCTCGCTCAGTCCCTACCTGCAGGACCCCAGCAGCAAGCTAACCTACCAGTCAGAGCATCTGCCTGGTGGTCAGTACATGCCATAGTGAGTGGTTGAGTGGCCTTAATATATCATTAGCATATCACACTTTGATTGGTAAAACAGACAACGACCAAATGACCAGACATTTAGCATATTAGACTTTTCTTATATAGGATACTCTGAGACTTTGAGTTTATAGATCTTTTATATACCTTTTATTTATCCCTATTTCTTGCTGTCAGATGTCACTTGTACTCTGAGGGTACCTATTATTTGTATCAATTTCTCCTCTTGCATCACATGCTCAGATTCTAGTTTTGTTTTTGTTTTTTTAATATTTTATTGATTTCAGAGAGAGAGGGAGAGAAAGATAGAAACATCAATGATGTGAGACAATCATTGATTGGCTGCCTTGCATGCACCCTTCTGGGGATTGAGCCTGCAACCCAGACATGTGCTCTTGGCCAGAATCAAACCTGGGGCCTTTCAGTCCACAGGCTGACTGACACTTTATCCATTGAGCCGAAACAGCTAGGGCAGATTCTAGTTTTTTAGTTAAAATCTACCACAGTTAAGAAATAAGATCACCAATTCCTATGAACAGAGCGCATATACTTTATTTTAAAAATTAAAAATAAAATAATAAAGACCTCTAGAAAGAAGAAAAAAAAGTGCATATACTTTAATGAAAGCACTTTATAGAAAGAAATTTTATTACTTAGTAGGTTTTTCCCTAAGTTCTTCATTTTTGGCTGATGTTGGTGATAAACATCAACTTTTTGTCCTCAAAGGACAGTCCAGAAAAATAAAAAATATGATGAATAAACATTAAAGACAAAAATTAAATGTGTGTGTTTGTGGACATTAAATCTATAAGCCTGAAACAAAGATCGTATCTTTTCTTATTCAAGATGTACTTATAGAGTGCCTATTACATGCCAAGTGTTTTGTTATGAACAGGGAATATACATAAGGAAAAGAGCATAATAATAATAAGTGCTAAACTAAAAATAATAATTGCAGCTACTGCTATGATATATTATTTTTAAATATATTTTATTGATTTTTTTACAGAGAGGAAGGGAGAGAGATAGAGAGCTAGAAACATCGATGAGAGAGAAACATCAGCCAGCTGCCTCTTGCACATCCCCTACCAGGATGTACCCACAACCAACGTACATGCCCTTGACTGGAATCGAACCTGGAACCTTTCAGTCTGCAGACTGATGCTCTACCACTGAGCCAAACCGGTTTCAGCTACTGCTATGATATTAAACATAGTTCAATGTTATGAGAAACATTGCAATCATTGTGCTAAATGCTATGTAAGCATTACCTCTTCTATTTCTTTCAGTAAATCTATGTATAAACTCCATTTCACAGATGAGGAAACAAAGTTACAGATGTGCCTAGAATCACAAAACTCTTGAGAAAACACTATAGCATCAATACAAAGACAGCAGAAGAATGAGCACCTGAGTCTTCCCAAGTGAGTCGAAGAAGAAAGACCTTCCCTAACAAGGAAATGTTTACACTGAGTATTAGCAGGATTCTCCCAAGCAAAGTGGTAAGGGGAAAATACATTGTATTTTACACAAAAGAAGGGATTTTTATATATATTCCAGTGGACATCCAGACTAAAGGGGAGTATAGCATAAATGTTAGGACACTTAAATAACAGATTTGGAGTGCTATAGGATAAGACTGTTCAAATAGGCAAAATAACATCATAGATTTTCTTGTATGTTGAGTCTATGTATATACACTTTCCTTATAAAATGTGGATTTTCCCCCATAATGCATGAAGAACCAATGAAGATCATATATAGGAGAGTGCTAAGATTAGAGGCAAGGAAATCCATCATGAAGCTGTTGCCAAAGTCCAAGAGCAAGCTGTTGCTGAAGTTCTAATGGGTGGCAAACTGCACCTGGACAATTACATGCGATTTGAGAGAAAACCTGATAGACAGCCCAGATTAAAAGTGGCTTGACTGCCGAAAAACCGGTTTGGCTCAGTGGTAGAGCGTCGGTCTGCGGACTGAAAGGTCCCAGGTTCGATTCTGGTCAAGGGCATGTACATTGGTTGCGGACACATCCCCAGTAGGGGGCGTGCAGGAGGCAGCTGGTTGACGTTTCTCTCTCATCGACGTTTCTAGCTCTCTATCACTCTCCCTTCCTCTCTGTGAAAAATCAATAAAATATATTTTTTTAAAAAAAGTGGCTTGACTTAAGTGTTGATTTTCATGTAAAGGTGATTCACTTTAAACAACTAAAACTTAAGAAATTCAACTCCAGAAGAGGTCAAGCCTATACATTTAAATTCAGAAGTTATCTACCCTAAATAATGATAGTAGAAACTGTAAAAACAAAGAGAATCTTAATAAAAGCAAAAGGTTCTAAATAAATATTTTGTTGAGTGGGTAAATAAAAGAGTGAATTTAAAGAAGAAGAAAAGAGGAGCCTACCTTAAGGAAATGACCATAGAAATATGAAGACAAAAGGGAGTGAACTCTAACTGAGACGGGGGAAAACCAGAAGTCAAGAAAGAAGAAAGTTTCGAAGGAGTCAACAGTGTCAGCAGGAAAGTCAAGGAAAAGGAGAACTGGAAAAAGACCCTTCAGCCACTGGCATCTGAGAATTCAGACTCTTTCTTCAGGAGTCTTGCCCAGCATTATGTAATTTGTTGTGCCTGAGCTTTCCAATCGTTACTTTTTGCCCTCTTACTCCTGTTACCACTATTTTACATTAAAATTAGTTCTCCACAAGTTTGAATATTATTTTATAATTTTATAAGGCTATGCATGTGAGGTCATTTTTAAGGCATTTTCAAAACATAATACTGATGGCAAAAAAAGTTTTTTAAGAGCAACAAAGGATAATTCCAGACCATTTCTTAAACCATGAAACTTGCTTTATTACTCATTGTTTTCCCTGGGCAAAGCTGATTCTATCCAGAAAAAGGACACTGTACTTGATTCCAACATAAAACAATCTCTTACATTAAATTGCAAACAACTAAACTGCCAAACAAAGCTGATTTTTAAAACAAGCATTTACAGAGATAGAGAAATAAGACCTTAAAATTAAAAAGCAAAAAATAACCCAAAGAACTATCAAACACAGACAAAAATAATGTACATAGAAAAGAATTTTCAGTAACTTAAAATATTTACCTTTTTAATTCTTTTACAAGGACATCTAAGTTTTACCTTCTGGTTGCAATTAAAAGGACATTCACCAGGGTGGCACATCTCTTTGCACCTATGACCACAAGGAAGCTAAAATAAAACCAAAAGAAAGCAGTTACATTCTCAACTACTTATTACCACAAATCTGAATTTGGACAGAAGGAAATTTATTTTAACAAGAAAATATCAGGATTGAAAAATTCAGAAAATTAAATTTGAAATAATCCATGCCTCTAGTTTTACTCATACTAATACAGGATTATTACAATAATCATTTCATGCTTGAAATGGTCTCATATTTTATACTAGTAATCTTGCGTAAATTCTGAAAATGTTAAATTCTAGTTCTTGAACAAAAACCCATAAAAAGTGTCCAAAGTATTAGTTAAAAGAAAATATAATTTTTGCCGAAGCCGGTTTGGCTCAGTGGCAGAGTGTCGGTCTGCGGACTGAAAGGTCTCGGGTTCAATTCTGGTCAAGGGCATGTACACTGGTTGCAGACACATCCCTGGTGGGGGGTGTGCAAGAGGCAGCTGGTCGATGTTTCTCTCTCATGGATGTTTCGAGCTCTCTCTCTCTCTCCCTTCCTCTCTGTAAAAAAATCAATAAAATATATTTAAAATATATATTTATATATAATTTTTAACAAAATGGCACATCACATACTGATTTGTTTTATTTGGTCAAAGAGACTGATTACTATATTTGAAACTACGTTGCCATCTCTTCCTTTAAAAGAGGTACTATTAGTATATCCATAAGTCAAAAGGCTTCCTTTATAAACTTCCATCTTTGCAAATCAAATAACTGTCACTGCTCTAGCTTCAACAACAACAAAAAAAGAGAATGTTCACTTTTAGATTGGCCCAATACAGATGGATAATCTTGGTTTCTCACATTATTGCCAGGATAAATCAATAGTGAGATTTTACCATTTTATTTTGAACAATTTTTTGGAACCACTTTTGATACTTGTATTTCGAATATAATGCATAGACAGACATCTGAATTTTTAAAAACAAAACTTTATATATGAAATGCTTTATACTAATTCAAAATAATGAATTTTAAAGTTCACACACAAATATACTAGTACATCTATCTTTTTAAAATAACCTACTATGAATTTATTCTCTAACTGCTTAAGACCCATACAGTTTTTGATATATTTATATTTTAAGTCTGAATCACATGGGAGGTAAGCATTAGATGAATACCTTATTGCTTAAAGTATATAAGCTATCTTTAAAACAACTTAAAAAAATCTTCAAAGGGGCATCCTAGACTCATACTCGCCAAATTTCATAAAGATATGTGCATCCCTACTCATATGTATTACATTTTTACAGACATCACATTTTTATTTCTGGACCCACATCTTTAGTGGATCCAGAAAAGTCCTGAAATAGGATGTCCAAACAAGAAAAGAGAAAATCTAAGAAAAAAAAAGCCCCAAAAATACAATTTAGAAGGTTCTATTAAAGCTTACCTCTTTAGGACACTGATCTTTGCAACAACTGAGGCGGTTCTTTTCATTTACATCAGCTGTGGTTATTTTTCTAAAAACAGGAGAGTAAGATTTGGTGACATTCAAACCAAGTCCATTTCATTGCATATTTTCCAAAAGCAACTCAACAATTTCAAACATGTCTATAAAATGATCTTTCTTATTTTTTCTTGAGACCTATTTTAATTGTTTCTTTCTGTAACAATTATCTTCCAATTACTTTACTGTTCTGATAAGTCAAATTTTCCAGCCCTTCATCAACTACCAACAAATTAAATGCCAAAAGGGTAATCGCTGCAAGAAGGAAGCACAAAACACACATAAAATATCATGGTATCTGGACTCTTTTTATAAGTTCATGTACTATCTTTCCCTATAGTTCAATGATTATTCATAATTAAAACTCTCCTTAAAGTCTTTACATAAATTATTAAAAACGAGTCATTTAATATGTTAGTTCAAACTAAAAAATATAGGCTATTCAGTGGGAAATGTAAGCTTATTATGAAAGTCTTCCAGTTGTTTTTGGATAAGCTATTAATGTTAGAAATTGATTCATTTTAAATTACATCATTTAGATCAGTCTGTGCTTTTATATGACTCAATAGGTAATTTGGAAATAGTCATAAACACCAAGGAATAAAACCACTTTCTAATAGGGAGTTAAATAGAATCAGAAGAGATACTATTAGGTCTAGTAATAATTAATGTCGTTTTCTAATATTACATACATGAGTCAGTATCTAGTGACAATCTTAAAATCCCTATTATACTTATTGCACCTTTCTCTTCCCCAAATTGCTTTTTTCTTTTTTTTTTTTTTAAATTATTTCTTTTCCTGCTTTTTCTATTTCCTTTTACTAGACGTAATTCCCAAAATATAACAGTTAGTCTCATTGATGTCAAAATTGTAATCTTCATATTTGTATCAAATTATCTATGAATGTACTCTAACATACACAATTTTCTTGTTAAAATTTCATTTACTATCACAGAGTTTTTATGCTAGCTCTACTAAGCATTGTATATTTTCATTCTTATAAGTATGGTGCTCACCTCTGAACTTATGGATTAAAATCATATTATTCCTGTTTCTCTATAAATTAGGAAAAATTACCTACTTTGCAAGGTCTGTATCTTTTATATTTAATTCCCAAGAATAAATACACATGAAGCAAAAAAGAACTAAAGGGAAAAGATGGCTTATAAAATAATTAGTTGAATTAAAGCAAATAAAATTATCAGAATACCAAAAGTAAGGGATTCTGTATAAAAACATGTATTTTAAATATGTATTCAAGAAAGGAAAAGGAATTCTGGATAGCTGAGACAATGGAAACCATGTCAATCCAATTGCATCCACACATTCCAAAAAAAAAAACCATTCAGCTCATTAATAACAAAATCATTCAAATTCCATGACCTTGGAATAACTAGAAGACAGAAATATCTACAAGCTTCAAATTACCTGTAAGTAGAAAAGTAAGTATCAATTCCTAGCAGAGCTATTTCTCAAGCTCCCATAGGAAATCTTTTCAAGAAGTCAGTGAAGTTCTAGAAAAACTGAACAGAAAAGACAGGGAGCTAACATCACTCCAGAAAAAGAAAGTCAACCCTCAATGTAAAAGTACTAAAAAAAAAGTCTTAGTAATCAGAGCATTAACTACAAGGAAGAAACTTGGAAAAGTGCACAACAACCAAGGAGCCATGAACTGAAGGTAAAAAGGAAAAGGAAGGCAGCTTTTGAAGACTACAAGATGAAGAGAAAAGAAAAAAATGTAGGACCTTGCAAGAACAAAGAAAACAATCCATTTTGTCAATATCACCCATTAATAAAGCAAAATTGCCCTCTTAACTCCCCCTACAAAAATTCTAAAGCTAAAAATTGTAGTATGTTATTTTATTTTTTACATTTCAATAAAATAATTTTGACTTTTACACTTTTACAAAGCATGAAACTAGAGTGCAAGTGACAAAAACAAATTTAAGATAAAATTAACAGGCCATTTTTTCAAAAAGCATTTATGCTTAAAAAAAATAAATAAATCAGAAATAAAATTATATTCCCAAATTTAACTTTGAGTAAATCAGACTTTTCAAAAGCCCACTTTATAGACTTGGATGAAATGAAGCTCAATGAGTTTGGCCATAATTAACCTGCATTTTTTAAAATAAGGAAAAAATAAAGGTCACATCCTTGTATAATAAATGCCATAACAGCGATATCTGTAATAAATAAAACCTACCTTTTAAATCTACAATTTAAAATTTACACTTAAGTAATTATGTGTAAGTCAATTTTTGATCCAATGAAATTCTAGTTTGACACTGTTATTTGAACACACTGTTTATAGGAATGCTTCTCCTTTTTTTCTTTTTTAAAGCAGTTTTATAACTTTTTTCCTAACAAAATCTTATAGATCCCCAAATGGGAAAAACTCAGAAATGCCCTGGTTTAAAAAGGGTGCAGTATCTACAAGGTGAAATAGTCTACATTGCTTCCCGGTCACTAGGAAAATCTAAGTCTCTAGAGTCTGAACACAACCACTGAAAAAATATTCCTTACAGTATACGACATATGAAGAGTTCTGAATTATAAACGGATATCACAAACATAATCTCAGCAGAACAACAATATTTCTTCAGGCTTCTTACCTACATTCCACATATAGGGTTGTGATCTTGCAGTGACATTTTATTCTAAGCATCTGAACACAGGGAGGACACTCTCCAGGGTGGCATGGCAGAACACACGGATGAGGACAGCCCACGGGCCGTGGTTTAGAGCACCCTTCTTCACACTGGAGGCATTCTGGACCAGCCTGCCAAATTGCAAGGAAATAAATCACCTACATTCAAAAGTCTAACATTTCTATACAGTGGTTATAAAATTTGCATACCCCAGTATTTCTGCAGCTCTTAGAAATACAGCTTAAAAATACTCAAAATGAAGAATAGCAAGATTATCAATATGACCATTATTCACAAAGATTTCTATGTATACAAACCGATTAAATCAAACTGCCTCACCTTTAAAATGGACATGAATACATTAAAACTCTAATAAAAACATAAATTACTTCCTAAAGAGTAGTCATTGGCAGAAAAAAAAAAATACATAGTAAGACATTATCAATTCATTTATACCCAACAAGTACAATAATCATCAAACTAAAGAAGGATTCAATGTTCTGGAAATAGTCATCTCATCTTGCTAAAGGAAAAAAACACATATAGAGAAAAAAAAGGAGAATGACTACTAGTTTAATTTATTTTTAATGCACTTCAATAAGGCAAAACTAAATTACATTTAGTACAAATAAATATCTCAATTTTAAACTTGCAACTTAACAAGTCACCTCTCTGCTCTAGTAATAATTTAAGTAGAATCTGTCTACTAAAGAAGGTTAAAGTTTTTATTACAGGATAGGGTTGAATTTCACATATCATACTGAGATCAAATAAAAGATCTAAAGATATGAATACTAAGTCTTAAAGGTTCAACATTTTTTATTATCAGTTTTTAAAATGAGGTGTTTTTTTTTTTTCAATTCATCCAACTTTCTGGAAATCTGCGGAGGAGAGCAATCCTAATTATAAGTAATGGGGTGATGAGAAGAAACACAGAATGAACATTTGGGTATTAATCCTGATAAATGAAACTTTTTTTTCATTTTTTTGAAACATAATTGGTATTGTATAAATTTAAGGTGTTAAGATGTTAATTTGATATTTATATAGGGTAATATGTTTGTCATGCAGCAATAACAACACCTCTATCACATTATAGAATTATCCTTTCTTCTTATTGGTTGGAATAATTAAATTCTAGTCTCTTAACAAGTTTAATAATTATAATGAAATTTGTTTTTAAATCAATGAAACATGATACATCACACACACTGCTTTTAGCAGTGTTCTCAAACATTTCTGTGCATTATCAATCACTTGGGAATATTGTTAAAATGTTAAGGTGGGATCTGAGATTTTGCATTTCTAATAAGATTCCAGGTGAGGCCAATATTGCTGGGCTGCAGACAACACTCTGAGTGGCAAGGATCTATAAAAATACAAAATAATCTATACTAATGGAAAGGTAATATGCTAATTAGACCAGGAAACCTTCTGGACAAAGCCATGCTGGCAGGGCCAAGGCAGAGGTGGTTAGGAACAATCAGGCCAGGAGGGGAAGGCAGTTGGGGGTGATCAGGCCGGCAGAGGGGGGGCAGTTGAAAAAGATCAGGCCGGCAAAGGGGGTAGTTGGGGGCAAGAAGGCTGGTGGGGGAGGGGGCAGTTAAAGACGAGCAGGCCAGCAGGTAGAGTGGTTAGGGGCGATCAGGCAGGCAGGCAGGCGAACAGTTAGGAGCCAGCGGTCCCGGATTGTGAGAGGGATGTCCAACAACATCAGGCCTAGACCAGCAGTCAGACATCCCCCAAGGGGTCCAGATTGGACAGGGTGCAGGCTGTGCTCTGGGACAACCCCCTCTCCTCTACATGAATTTTGTGCACTAGGCCACTGGTATAGAAATATATGTAGGTGTGATTACGTATCTATATATATTTTTATTTTTTTATGTATTTTTGTTGATAAATTCCTCCTCCACTCCCCCCCCCCAAAAAAAACTTTCCCAATTACTCAATTTCTTCTTACAGGCACTTCAAAAGATATTTGTCCCACATTTGCTTGGGAAGTACATACCATTTCAATTGTCATCAGCCTCAAACATTTCCCTTTCAACCACAGTTCCACTCACTATCACCAATGAATTAGACAACGGGAATATCTGTTGCTAATGGTAACAATCAGAGCCACTGCACAGAATAGCCTCCATTGGACCTGACTGTAAAGTCAGGCAAGGATACCAGAGAAGAGCAAATAAGCCAAAGAACTTTTGAGTCTAGTCAATTCTATAAATACTTATTAAATATCTGCTGTGTTGTAGGCTCTATACTACAACTGAAAGCAGAAAACTGTATTAAAAATTCCAAAGGTATTTGGGTCAAGAGACACATACTAAGAGTATTTCTCCAAAGGGTCACAATTGAGATATGATAAGAAAAAATTTAAGTTTCTGGAATTATTTTGTTTCATATATAAATTAGTGATTGCAAAGTTAACCCAAAATATCTTATAATTTGCCACATCCACTGCCCAGGAAGCAATAGTCAAGAGAATTCTCCAATCACTGTCATATTAGCTCTTAAAAACAAATTTTTTCTGACTCATTTGATGTTCTGAAAAACCTCGAGGAGGAATGCCTTATAGCAGCTATACCTTAAGGTAGTTTTAAATAATTAAAGTTATTTATTAGCTTGATTTAATAATTCCATACTCTTTCATTTTATCATGACTACATTTTTATTGAGGACCAACGCATGGGCTAATGAGGAAATCATAACTCATTTACATCTATGTCTACATATGAGCAAGAATGATGCTATGGATATTTATGCTGTCATACATTACAATTGCCAAAAGAAAGACCAAAAAACCTAACAATGCAATTGAAGTTTTCAATAACACAATTCATATGAATAATTTAAACATTTGTTCATTTAATGACACTTAGTAAGTATGAAACTTAAAACTTTTTACTTATTCCTCTTTAAGCACACTTACTATTATGATTCCCTATAAAATCAAAGCCCAAGAAAAAACATGAATTACTTTTAAAAAATAAAATTTAATATCATTTAAAAGTTAATTGGCTCTATTTGTTTTTCTTTATAAAAGAGCAATTTTTAGAGTCAATTTTTCATAGGCTTGTAAAATGCTTTTAATGAATTTCTCACACACACACACACACACACACATATCTGTGATGCTATTTACTTCCAACCGAAGTTTGGGAATTTATTAAAATTATGAGCATCATATTTCATGTGTCAGGTTTTAAAAATATTTGAAACCAAATTCAGAGATATTTAAGTGTTTACACATTCAACTTAAGGACATTACCTTATTTTTGCCAATGCAGGCTTCAGTTTCAGTTACTTCGTGGCATTCTTTCATACACATATGATTCTGACAATCTAAGGTTCGTCCACAAACTCTCTTACAGGAGTAGGGTCCTACAGCATGGCACGGGAGTGGACTCACCTTAAAAAAAAAAAAAAGAAAATCAGCACAACACGTACACACAAACACACACACCTCCAAGACCCATGTTTCCAAAACAACTAACTCTGTTATCAAGTTTCTCAAAGGTTTGAAACATTTTCACTAATGATAATTATCACAACCAAAGTAATCTATCCAAAAAATATGCAAAAAATGAATGCCAAGAAGCAAAATATTCCTAAAAGGGAAATGCAATATGATTCTGTAGTAAATGCATATTCATAAACTAATTTGCAAATAAGAACAGGTATATAGGGTGTGGCAAAAGTAGCTTTATAGTATTTTGCCACACCCTGTATTTTTAAAATTAGTAGACAAACTGTTGCCTTTAAAACACTGAAATAACAATACTTAGACTTCATTATTTCTAATAATCCTAGTATAGGAAAATACAGATGACAAGTTTTACTTAAAACTTGTGCCTAGCTCTAGCTGATTTTGCTCAGTGGATAGAGCATCAGCCTGTGGACCCGAGGGTCCCAGGTTCAATTCTGATCAAGGGCACATGCAGGGGTTACAGGCTCAATCCCCAGTAGGGGGCATGCAGGAGACAGCCAATCAATGATTCTCTCTCATCATTGATGTTTCTCTTTCTCTCCCTTTCCTTTCCTCTCTAAAATCAATAAAAATATATTAAAAAACAAACAAAACTTGTACCTATTAACTCACCTCATGCTTCCCAAGACACTGCCTGCAAGAAAAAAATAAAATGAAATAAAAACATTACAAATTCTTCAAAAGAACACCCAAAGCAAAGATGCTAATTCTATCATTTGTCTTATTAAGAGTAAAAAATAAACACATAAAGAAATAAGTAATTATAGAAACACCGCAGGACACAAAGTTAATATACAAAAGCTAATTGCTTTCCTATAAAACAGCAATGAACAACTGGAAATTAAAAACATGAAACATACCACCATTTATATTAGCACACACAAAAAGAGAAATACTTAGGTATAAATCTAACAAAATATATACAAGATCCATATGAGGAAAATTACTCATGAAAGAAATCATAGATCTAAATAAATGGAGATATATTCCATGTCCACTGATAGGAAAGTGCAATATTGTTAAGATATTGCTTCTTCCCTACTCTATCAGAGTCAACCCATGTTATTTTGTGGATATCAACACAGTGATTCTAAGCTCTATATAAAAAGGCAAAGGACCCCGAACAGGTAACCCAGTACTGAAGAACAATGATGTATAAGTCTTGAAGTTAGATAGACACTATCTAACTTCAAGACTTATAGAAAGCTACAGTGATGAAAGCAGAGGGTATTTAGTGAAAGAATAGACAAATAGATACTGAAACAGAACAGAGAGCCCCAGAATACACCCACACAAATATGGTGAACTGATCTTTGACAAAAGAGAAAGGCAACTGAATGAAGGAAGGATAGTTTTTTCAACAAATGGTTGGTGCTGGAACAGAAAAAAATCCAGAGAGACCTTATACCTTTCACAGTAGTTAACTCAACATGGGTAATATACCTAAATGTGAAATGTGAAAATATAAAACAGGAGTAAATCTAGGTGACTTTGAGTTTGGTCATGGCTTTTTAGATATAATATCAAAACCATGACCCATAAAAGAAAATGGTAATGTTGGATGGACTTCATTAAACCTAAAACATCTTCTCTGTAAACATTTAAAAGTATTAAATGAAAAGACAAGCCACAGGCTGGAAAAAAATACTTGGAAAACATATACTTGGTAAAGATATACTTGGAAAACATGTATCCAAAACATAAAAAGAACTCTTAAAACTCAACAATAAGAAAGCAAACACCTATTTAAAAAGTGAACAAAATTTGAATGAACAGAGAACAGACAAATCATAAAAGACATACAGATGGCAAGTAAGCACATGAAAAGAGATGCTCAACATCCTATGTCATTAGAGGACTGCTAATTAAAATGAGATAATACAGCACATCTATCAGAATGGCTAAAACTCAAAACACTGACTATACCAGATACTAGCAAAGATATAGAGCAACGGGTGCTCTCATTCATTGCTGGTGCGAATGCAAAGTGATAAAGTTTGGCAATTTCTTACAGAATAAACATATGCTTACCATATGAGGCAGCAATTGCACTCCTAAATATTTTCCCAAATGAGTTGAAAACTTATGGCCATTCAAAAAACTGCACATAAATGTTTACAGCAACTTTATTAATAATTTCTAAAACTTGCAAGCAACAAAAATGGCTTTCAACAGGTGAAGAGAGAAATGGTGGTACATCCATAAAATCTTACCTAATAATAGACAAACATGTAAATTGACCATACCTCTGCTATGGCACCAGCCAATCAGGAGTAATATGCAAATTAACACAACAAAGATGGTGGTTGATTTGCATACACAGGCGCCTAGTGATGGGGCAGGATGCTTGCATTCTGCTCCACCCCCAGACTCTCATGGCCTCTGGGCAGTGTGGGAAGGCAGGGCTGTAGTGGAAAGAGGGGGCTCCAGGGCCTGAGGGGAAAGGGGCTGGGCTGGAGTGGAAAGTCAGTGCCGGCAGCCAGGGAAAAGAAAGCTCATTTTAGCATGAATCTTCATGCATTGAGCTTCTAGTAGAATAATATTCAGTGATAAAAAGAAATGAGCTATGAAGCCATGAAAAGACCTGGAAGAACCTTAAATGCATATTTGTAAGTAAAAGAAGCCAGTCTCAAAAGACTACATACGGTATGATTCCAACTATATGACATTCCAGAAAAGTCAAAACTACAATGACAATAAAAAACAACAGTGGTTTCCTAGACATTCAAGGGGTGGGAGGCAAGGGATAAACATGATATAGGGCATGTTTAGGGCAGTGAAATGATTCTGTATAGCATGTATGTTAAATAGTCTTCCTATAAAACAGATTAAGGAATTCAAAGGTAATTGACTACGATATGTCAATTTGAGTGCCTATGAATCAAAATATCAGCGTCTCTTCTTCTGTTTCCCCAAAAGAAAAAATTTAGGCTATTGATAATCACTAATAACTCAAATCTAGTAAGAGATATTATAGACAACTTGGTCCCTCATGAAATTAATACAAGTCCTCAATAAAAGAATAGTCTCTAATAATTGCTAGTTGAACATGTACATAAAGAACCTCTTTGCTAACTATACCTCGCCCCTTCAATAAATCTACTGACTAAAATCACTCTATTAGTGACTATAGCTCCCAATTAAAATTCTGCCTCCCAACCTGATTACCCAACCAATACATAAAAATATACTACATGCTATTCAAACTGAAAGGAAAGTTGTGCAAGGACAAAACAGGAGTGAGAGCTTTAAAAAGTACAGAAAACAAGAACCCTCTCTTTAAAATACCAATACACAGACACACGAATATTCTATTTGAAACTTCAATTGTAAACAACAGCCCCTTTTGTAATTGTTTGTTGGTTCATAGTTCTGTGCTTCCTTTTCCCCTATATTCCATAACCTCTGCTGGAAGAATGAATTATTCCAGGATTCTCTATTACCCCAGATTTGGCTCAGTCCAGGTCATTTGCTAGCCAATCCAAGACACTTCCTTTCATTTTCAGTATTTCCCTCAAACATTCTCCTTTATGTTTGTCTTACATAAAACCCGGTTTCCCTTTGTCCTCAAGAAGCTTACAGACTAGTATGGGAATCAGTCAGAAAAACTGGATATATTATTGTAATTGTAAGCACAGTTGCTATAAAAGCTAAGAAGGGCATCAAACACTAGCTAGTGGTAAACTCAAATAAGAAATCTAGCCGAGACCGGTTTGGCTCAATGGTTAGAGCGTCGGCTTGGGGACTGAAGGGTCCCAGGTTCGATTCCGGTCAAGGGCATGTACCTTGGTTGCGGGCATATCCCCAGTAGGGGGTGTGCAAGAGGCAGCTGATCAATGACTCTCTCTCATCGATGTTTCTAACTCTCTATCTCTCTCCCTTCCTCTCTGTACAATATCAATAAAATATATTAAAAAAAAAAAAAAAAAAAAAAAAAGAAATCTAGAGGAAGTTTTTAAGCAGTAAGCAAAATACATTTGGACAAGAATGAAGCTAATGACAGAGAACTAACTAGCTTATAGGCTAGGCCTAAAATGATGAATTGAACAAAGAATATGGGAAAAGGTAACTTAGGATATACTTTGAGCCTGGCCGGCATGGCTCAGTGGTTGAGGCGTCGACCTATGAACCATGAGGTCTTGGTTCGATTTCTTGGTCAGGCACATGCCTGGGTTGTGTGCTCGATCCCCTGGATGGGGTATGTGGGATGCAGTTGATCAATAATGCTCTCTCATCATTAATGTTTCTCTCTCTCCCTATCCCTTCTTCTCTGAAATCAATATATATATATATATATATATATATATATATATATATATATATATATATATATATATAAAGATACACTTTGAACTATGTCAAAGGCATTTTTAAAGTAAAATTTTAATACTTACATAGGAATAGGAACTTGACATGGAGGACAAGGTAAAGCAGCCTGAATAAATGCTGGCTCTGAAGACTGTTCCCAAGGGCCTGTAGGCTGGTGCTATGAGTAAAATGCATAACAATTTTACGTCAGAGGGATAAAACCACATGGCCGTTCAAAGAATCTTAGAAAATTTACCATGTATCCTCCACTCAAACAGGTTGAATACTTTTCAAAGAAATCAACAAATGGTGTTTACTGAAATATTCCATTCCATCTGCATTCTATCAGCTTGTTCCTCTCCAAAAACATTTGATATTAAAAACTGAGGCAGACTCCAGAATTTTAATGCCAGAACATTGGTAGTTTAGCCTCCTTCACTTCTCATAGGCCAGTGGTCAGCAAACTTATTAGTCAGCAGAGTCAAATATCAACAGTACAACAATTGAAATTTCTTTTGAGAGCCAAATTTTTTAAACTTAAACTTCTTCTAACACCACTTCTTCAAAATAGACTCTCCCAGGCTGTGATATTTTGTGGAAGAGCCACACTCAAGGGGCCAAAGAGCCGCATGTGCTCGTGAGCCAAAGTTTGCCAACTACAGTCATAGGCCAAAGGGAGAATGAGAAACAGAATTGTAAACTCTACCTTCCAGCTGAATGTAATCTCCATTATTTTGCTCACTGTTGTCTTCCTAGCACCGAGAAGAATACTTACATAGTAAGAACTCAATAAATATATTAAAAATGTGAGTGAATTTTTGAGAAAACTAAAAGATACCTATAAGCCTAAACAACATATGTGAAGAAAAACTGCCTAATTTATCTCTATCTTGAAGATAAAATGATTATCACACTTTATTTGCAAATATTTGTTTATTGGTCTCTCTCCTTTTCTATACTGTATACTTCTTAAAACAAAAGATCAAGTCTTGGTTACTTTATACCCCAGCTCCTATCACAGTGCTCAATACCAAATAAGTACTTATTTACTGCTTGTTGAATGACTAAGAAAATTTCAGAAAATATGACCCACAGCAATTCACTGTCTCGTCAGAATATTGTTTCCTTACCCTGCCAGTTTGCTTTATTAATGCTTGATCGTGACATGGAACAGGACACAAGTGACCACATTTCTCCAACACTTTTTGGCAAGGTTGATGACATGGAGGACAAGAGCCAAAGTGACAACGATGTTTTTCTTGACTTGTATGATGGCAAGTTGGTGGGCGACTAAATCATAAAGTACAACTTTTAAATTATCCTGATCATTGAAGAATTATATTTAAAGTGCAATCATCTGTTTATATATCTTGTGATTCTATACAGAATAAGAATATACTGTGAATATTAGTATTTAAATACATTAAAGCAAAATTGAAAATATTAACAATGTTAAAAATCAATATGAATTTAAATTGGTAAGACACAAATATAAGTTTGTGCAGAGCTTCATACCAACCTGCATAGCTCTTTACACTTGGGTGGTCTTGTGGTACGTTCTCGGCCACAGGGTACTGTCACCTTTGTACTACCGCAACTGCACTTCACATCTACAGTTTCTGGGCAAGGATAGCAACTCCCTGAAAAAAAGGGCTGAAAGTTAAAATTTACTTAACTACCCAAATGCCCATCAATAGTACAATCAATGAAAACATCAATAAAAACATGTCCTTGGGTGAGGATTTCAAAAAAATATATAGGTAAAAATCAAGTAGGACTGATATTTTCTTGGTAAGAAAATTCTAAACTACAGATCCAATTTCTTTAATGGCCATTTGACTAGTCAGATATTTCTACTTAAAAGGCCAGTATTTTAAAAATAGCCTACAAGACCCTCTACATATTCTCCTGTCCCCAGCTCTTTATCGCACCATCTCTCTGACCTGATCTCCGACCATCTGTCCCTTTGAGCACCTCTCCCATGCTCTTTGCAGTTCCTTCAAGTGCTCCTGTCTCAGGGCTGCTGCAATCGCTGTTTTCTTGCCAGAACATTACCCTCCCCTATCTCTTACTTCTCAGGTCTTCTCTCAAATGTCGTCCTCTCAGAGTCATCCCCTGATCACGCCATATAAAATAGGATACACCATTCCCACTTTCACCATTTTAATTTTACTCTCATTTCCTTTCTATATGTGGCAACACTGATATCCTAATGAATTTGATTAGTTATTTGTATTCTGAGGGAGAGTTAAAAAAAAAAAAAAAGTTCCATAAGAGCATAAGAGAAGATGTTTCTTAATATTGTTCACTCATGTAATCCCAGTGCCTGGTACTGAGCAGACAAGGCAAAAAACTTGAATAAATTAATGATTAATGCAAAGAATGTTAATGGAATTTAAATTTGAGTTAATGACATAATATGACTGTAAAGGAAATAAGATCCTTTTTAGGGTTAATGGAATCTGTCACTTTTCCTAATGGAGAGGCAATCCTACATAATAAAAGGCTAATATGCAAATGACCGAATAGTTGAATGACTTGTCACTATGATGTGCACTGACCACCAAGGGGCAGACGCTCAATGCAGGAGCTGCCCCCTGGTGATCAGTGTAATCCCATAGGGGGTGCACCACTCAGCCAGAAACCAGGCTCCTGGCTGGCACACACAGCAGCAGTGGCAGGAGCCTCTCCCGCCTCCATGGCAATGCTAAGGATGTCCGACTGATGGCTTAGGCCCACTAAGCAATCAGTCAGACATCCTCCCAGGACTCCTGGACTCTAGAGGGCACAGGCCAGGCTGAAGGACTACCCCCGCCCCGCCCCCCCGCATGCACAAATTTCATGCACAGGGCCTCAAGTGTGACATATTGGAAATATCATTAAAGTCTGAATTCACATCCTGACCCTATAACTAGTTTTATGACCTTGGGCCTATAGTCTCTTGGACAGTTTTCTTATTATGTTAAACAACAATAGTGCCATATGCTTTGTAAGATCTCTGAATGGATTAAGACATTAACTAAAATATCTAACATTAACTAAAATATCTAACATGCACATAAACACAAAGGAAAACAATAGTTTGTCCCAGGTCATAGAGCCCCTAAGCAGCAGAATCCAGACTTGAACCCTAAGTCCAGACTTCTTACCCTTAGTCTGTGCTCTTATCATCACTACCTTATACCATAATTTAGTAAATTCCATTTCATACTAACATACCAAATGGGTAAAGTTAACTCAGTTTTTAATGTCTAATAACTTAGGCACCCCTGAGACTCCTTCAGGGGGTCTGCAAGATCTCACATACATACATAGAGCTTTCCAGAAGCTATATGACAAATGATATCAAAAGGGACTAAATGCAAATCAGGTCTGTAATTCCAGCCATCTCCTATTAAATTAGACATTAAAGACATTTGCAAAAATGTAAAAAATACCATTTTCACTAAATTTTTTTCAGAAAAATTATTTTTCACAAAAAAAATGTTACTATATTAAGAAGTAGTGGGCTTTATTGCTATTTTTAAATAAATAATAAGTATTATTACATTCTATTTCAATTTAAAATATAATAAATATCAATAGGTAAAATCCACATTCACAAAAGCTCTTTGGGTCCCAAAAGAGCGTAAAGAGGTCCTGAGATGAAAAAGTTTGAGAACTACTGGCTTAAGATGTAGTAACCAATTCCTTACTAAACTTAATTCCAGAAAAACGTCTAAAATTCAAAGTAAAACTGGAAAACTTAACATATTTATTAATTCAAAAATTCTGTGGGGAAGATTGGAAGGAAGGAAACAACATGGTGTTATAAAATAACAAAGCTTTTATATTCAGAAGACATGGGTTTAAATCTTCGCTATATTGGTTACTAGGTATTTCTGTGTACGTATGTCACTGAACCCTCTTAACTTTAATCTCCTTATCCATAAAATCATGATCTTGGCAACTGCCCTACCTTCTCAAAGTTATTAAGAGGACAAACTAAGGTAATAAATGTGAATGCTCTCTATTAACCTAAAAAACACTATGTAAATACAACATGAAAATACAACTACTGTTAAATTTTACCTCTGTGGCAGACAGATGGACACTTATGGTTTCTACAACCTAAAGTCCGTCCACAATTTTGATCACAAGGTGTACAGTTTCCAGGACAACACTGAAGAGAAAGCAATATATAAATAACAGGTCAGCTGAAAAGCATGCATAATATAAATGTCATTACTAGATATTCACAGAACTTGTGGAAAGCAAAGTTCCCTTTTCAATCCTATCTGATAAAGAGGGAATATGCTAATTGACCTGCATGCTGCAGTAAAGATGGTGGCACCAACAGCCAATAAGGAGGGAATATGATGTGACTGCCCCACCCTCAAAAATGGCAGTGCCCACAGCCACAAGATGGTGGCACCCAGTCCCCTCAGCCTCGCCAGGGTGGCAGGCAAGCAGCAAGGCCGGGTCCGCCCTCAGGCAAGCTTGGCCGCTCTGCACACCTGCCTTCAGAGTCCCCCAGTCCCCACAGCCCCACAGCCCCCCACGGCCAGCCCAAGGGGCAGGCAAGCCTCGGATGGTGGCTGCCCAGCCGCCCAGAGCTGCCGGAGGCTCAGGTAACCAGGGCCAGCCAAGGCTTGCACTTCCAACAGTGGCAGCAGCAGAGGTGTGATGCGGCGTCACCTTCCCCTGATCGCCCAGTCGCCTCCTGCACCTGAGGGCACCCAGACTGTGAGAGGGAAAAGGCCAGACCTCCCACTTCAGTGCAAGAATTTTCATGCGCCGAAACCGGTTTGGCTCAGTGGTAGAGCGTCGGTCTGCGGACTGAAAGGTTCTGGGTTCGGCCGGAACCGGTTTGGCTCAGTGGATAGAGCGTCGGCCTGGGGACTGGAAGGTCCCGGGTTCGATTCCGGTCAAGGGCATGTACCTTGGTTGCGGGCGCATCCCCGGTGGGGGGTGTGCAGGAGGCGGCTGATCGATGATTCTCTCTCATCAATGTTTCTAACTCTCTATCCCTCTCTCTTCCTCTCTGTGAAAAATCAATAAAATATTTAAAAAAAAAAAAAAAAAAAAAAAAAAAAAAGGTCCTGGGTTCGATTCCAGTCAAGGGCATGTACCCTGGTTGCGGGCACATCCCCAGTAGGGAGTGTGCAAGAGGCAGCTGGTCGATGTTTCTCTCTCATCAACGTTTCTAGCTCTCTATCTCTATCTCTTCCTCTCTGTAAAAAAATCAATAAAATATATTTTTTTTTAAAAAGAAGAAGAAGAATTTTCATGCACCGGGCCTCAAGTATAAGAATAAAAGTAATCAAAAATATTAATATTCTTCTGATAAGCAGACATGCACCCATATTAAGAACTTGTAAGTTTAAGTAGAGAATATTCTAATTTACTAAAATCAAGCTAAATTTCCTTGCATTTCAGTTCATTATTCTTAAAACATTCTCATAATTTCATTTCTACTTATCTATGCAGAGACTGACAACATTAACCAAAGTAATAGATCTGGTTAAGTAACCAATAGATTGGTTAAGTAATATTAACCAATCTAATAGTCAATTCAGGCAAACAATTGATCTAATTATTTTAAAAATTTAGTTAAAATAATGCCAGTTAAATGTATAGATTAGTTTAGCACAGTGGTCAGCACACTCATTAGTCAACAGAGCCAAATATCAACAGTACAATGATTGAAATTTCTTTTGAGAGCCAAATTTTTTAAACTTAAACTTCTTCTAACACCACTTCTTCAAAATAGTGCTATTTTGTGGAAGAGCCACACTCAAGGGGCCAAAGAGCATCATGTGGCTCTCAACCTGCAGTTTGCTGACCACTGGTTTAGCAGTTATTTTTAAGTCATGAAATCAGAGATTAACTAATGGAGAAAAAATTTGCTTCTAATTTTTATAACTTCCCTGATTTCCAATCTGTTTGTAAGAAATATACCCATCTATGACTTGTCCCAATTTTCATTCATGAACAAAAGGCCAACTACTTACAGTCCACCTTGCTATTCTAATTCCCTCCTTGACTTCTCATCTATCCAAATTTTGGAGAGAAAATGCAGGCTATAATTATCTTAAAGAAACTTAGGGTTGAAACCTACTTTAAGAACAAGTTTCAGTATATAAAAATAGCTCAAGCCCTAGCTGGTTTGGCTCAGTGGATCGAGTGTCGGCCTGCGGACTGAAGAGTCCCAGGTTTGATTCCTGTCAAGGGCATGTACAGCTGATTGATGTTTCTCTCTCATTGATGTTTTTAACTCTCTACCCCTCTCCCTTCCTCTCTTTAAAAAAAAAAAATCAATAAAATATATTTTTAAAATAATTTAAAAATAGCACAAAACAAAATAGACTTTATTGAAAAGCCATTGAAAGTCAAAATAGTTCACTCAATCAGACAAATATTTACTAAGATTATGTGTCTATCACTTTGCTGGTAGCAGTATGTGAAAAGAAATTTTGTGGTCCATGAGTTGAATAAGCTTTTTAGACATTTCTGACCAAGGTGGAATACACAATGACAGGATTTATACTCCTGCCTTAAGCAACTAGGAAATCAGACAAAGTATGTGACAGACATGGAAGATAGAGAAAAGACCCAAACCCAACTCTCAGAAATGAAAAACTATAATACCTGAGATGAATAAACATAGGATGTGATTTTTTAAAAAATGGATTAGAAAAAGCAGAAAATTAATGAACTTGAAGACAAATCCCTATAAACTAAAACACAAATTTTAAAAACTAAAATTAATAAATGGAGCATCAGTGAGTTGTGAGACTTCAATAATAGCATAATATTACATAATGCAGTCTAGGAAGGCAATGGGTAGGGGGAAAACATTTGAAGAAATAAAAACTGAAAATTTCAAAAAATTGATTAACATATAAACCCACAGATCTGAGAAATTCAACAACAACAAAAGATTAAAGAAACATGAAGAAAGCTATACCAAGGAATACCACAAATTGCTAAAAACTGGTAATGAGAAAAAAAAATTTTAAATAGCCAAAGGGAAAAAAGATATATTGCAAACAGAGAAACAAACATAATCACAGCACACACCACACCCTCTGTTGGGAAAATGCAAACTAAAAGATAGTGAAGCAACATCTTAAAAAATGCAGAAAAAAATGTCAAACTAGAATTCCACAGTAAAAGTATTTTTCACAAACTAATGATATTTTATAAAAGCTAAAGATCTTTTACAAAAATTGAAAGAAATAATGACCAGCACTACAAAAATGTTAAAGGAAGTCCTTCAAATAGAAAATGAAAGCAGATAGAAACCTAAGTTAATAGAAAAAAACTGAAAAACATAAAAAATAATGAGTCTGACAATCTATAATAATAAAAGCATAACATGCTAATTAGAGCGGACAGCTGAATAACCTTCCGAATGTCCTTCTGGATGTCCTTCCAGACCACCTTCCTGATGAAGCTGGGGCTGCAAAGGCAGAGGTAAGCCATGATGGCTGTGAGGGCCAAGCCCCTTGTATGAATTTTGTGCATTGGGCCTCTAGTAAATTATAAAAGACTACTTTTTCTTACTTTTTCAATCTCTTTAAAAAATATCTGACTAGTTAGAACAAAAATAAAAATATCATTATTTGGGGTTTATAAAACACATGGGTATAAAATATATAAGAGTCAAATAAAGGATAAAAATAGAATTATTGAAGAGCAACACTCAATAAAATAGAAATTAGAAAAAGAGAAAAGGAATCAAGAACAGATAGGCAAATAAAAAATAGTAAAATGGCATTTAAATCCAACCATATTAAAGATCACATTAAATGTAAGTGATCTAACCCTAATTAAATGATAAAGATTATTCTGCTAGGATAATACAATATATAAGTGCTGTCTAAGAGAAAACTACTTTATATGTAAAGTATGAATATGTTAAAAAAGAATGAAAAAGGTTTACTATGCTAACACTAAGCAAAAGAAAGTTGAAATCACTATATTTCAATAGGAATCTTATCAGAGATAGAGGGATAATTCATAATAATAAAGAGGACCCTTCAAAAAAAAAACTGCAAATCTACAAACTCAATAAAATAATCCAGTTGACCACAGACTGAACCAAGTGTCTGTAAATAAGAGTTAAACAATAAAGATTAAGCCAGCAAATGAACTATCACTCTTAACATTGCTATGATATTTTAAAGTCAGGGAACAAAAGTCACTTAAGAAACAAGCTGAGAAAATTATGCACGAGATTAAAAAAGTCTCTTTCATTTAAAAATCTTGATAAAGCCAAAACCGGTTTGACTCAGTGGATAGAGCGTTGGCCTGCAGACTGAAGGGTCCCACGTTCGATTCCAGTCAAGGGCATGTACCTTGGTTTCAGGCACATCCTCGGGGGGGGGGGGGGGGGGGGGGGGGGTAAGAGGCAGCTGATCGATGTTTCTCTCTCATAGATGTTTCTAATTCTCTATCCCTCTCTCTTCCTCTCTGTAAAAATCAATAAAAACATATTTTTAAAAATCTTGGTAAGATTTCCCACTTATATAAACCATTAGGATTAATCTAGAATATGTATTAATAATTCATATGAGAAGCATAGGATATGTCAAGGTGGTGCGTACGTAGGCCTACAGAGGAAAAATTCAAAGGAATTTTTAAAGCAATGTCCCCAGGTTATTACATACCTTTCTCCTACACTGATGCTTCTGACAGTCACGCATCTTGACACACTTAGTTTCACAGAGATAAGGTTTATGACATGGCATTCGTTTTGTATGCTTTCCACAGCGACATTGCTTTTCTACTTCCTGTAAGAATCAATAAATGCTATTAAAACTAACTTTTGTTAACATAATTTTTTTTCACCTTGCCCATTTTTATAATTACTAAAAAATGAAGGAACCCAGTCAGTGTGGCTCAGTGGCTGAGCGTCAACCTATGAACCAGGAGGTCACAGTTTGATTCCCAGTCAGGGTACACGCCTAGGTTTTGGGCTTGATCCCCAGTGTGGGCTGCAGGAGGCAGCCGATAATGATTCTCTCTCATCACTGATGTTTCTCTCTCTCTCTCTGCCTCTCACTTACTCTCTAAAATCAATAATACACAGACACACACACACACACACACACACACACACACCAAAAAAAAAAAAAAAAAAAATTTTTTTGAAAAAATGAAAGAGGAAAGCTTTAAGAGCAAACGTGTATGAAAGGAAGACTTTACCAAAACTAAAGCAGAATTTCCTAAAATAATTGTATCTTACTTTGTTCCAAAAAAGACTTCATATGAATTTTCATTATTAAACTTAGTAGGAATTTAATACTAAATAAATACCACACTTTAAAATCACTTCTATGTGGTTATACCATGTCGTCTCCACATCTCATTTCAGTAAAGCAAGAAAATTGGATTATCTTGTAAGCTAATTTGTTGACTTGATAGTATGGTCCTATCCAAGGTGATATATATATATATATATATATATATATATATATATATATATATGTATTCATTACGCTTAGTGATGAATATATATTCATCACTAAGCGTAATTCATCATTGCTTTGAATGTCTACTGGGATCAAATAACCTCACTCTGGATCATAAAAATGCAAAGTTCAAACTTGAACCAAACAAAATCAAACAAAAGGTGATTTTTCGACTTGATTGATGGCACACTCTCATGCTTCTTCACGATACACATTAGGTCACTAAACGCATTCAGGTCATCACATATGTATTTATAAAACTAAGTAATGGAAAACAATTACAGAACAATCCCATGTGACAAAATAGAGAGCTCTTAAAAATAATTATTATAGCAGATGACTAACTTGTCTACATGTTTCACAAGGACCTCGGTGACAACGCTGTGAACATCTATGGACTCCACATTCAAGCAATTTGTCACAGCTATCTCCACAAGTTGGTACATCTTCTGTACAAGGCAAAGAAAACTCTAAAAGCAGACAAAAAAAAAATTAATGTTAATAGTAACATACATTATTATGAAGCACTTTCAACATGCCTTGTTCTTTTGATTCCCTGAAGGATGACAGCCTTTTCAGACTATGAAGTTTTGCATCTATGTAACTATTGGAAAAGTTAACTTTAATTAAAATAACCCCTAATATTTGTGAAGTTAATGTAAAATTAAATAAAATTTGACATATGACAAGTTACTTCAAGAAGCACAATTATGAGCTATTTCAGAAGTACTTATCTGAAGAAATAATGTCATACCTCTATGAAGAATTCCACAGTATAATTACAAAAACAATTTGCCCTTAACCTCACCGGATAAAAGAAAAGAAGTAGATTCAAAAACATAATGAAACTCACCTTCTACAGAAACATGACAAGTACTGGCAATAATCTTATGAGTATGTGTGGTAGCATTGGTACAGAGTCTACAGCCCTTCATGCCTTTAACTCAAAGCAACCGAAATTAAATTCACTTATAGCTCAATACACAATAATGACAACAGCCTGTAATGATTAGGTTTCCTTTATAAGGTAGGCATTCCATTGTTTTATGAGCATTTTATCATTTAATTCTCACAAACGTCTTACAAAGAAGGTACCATCATTGTCTCCATTTAACTTGAGAAAATCAGAGTCTGTAAGGTGGGATTTGAACCCAGATATGGCTGACTCCAAAGTCTGAGGTTAAACATGTTATACTGTCTTCTCATCCAAATGTACAGAAATCTAACATTAAATGTGTATAATTATTGAAACTACATTATGAATTCAGAGAAATCTAATGAGGCAAGTACTCTAGTTAGCATAAAAAATAATATCCCATTAAAGGTATAAGAATAGTCTTACTTGACTTCTGACATGGACAGAATCTTTTCCCAGATCGAGGGCATTCTCCACAAGCACCAACATGACAAATTTGCTCACATGTATGATTACCACATGGCAAGGTTTTTCCACATACCTAAAATAAAATAAGCATTAGTGAGAAACTTAGAAGTTAACAAAAAAGACTTTGTATTTACATAATCCATTTTTTCTTTGTACATAACCCATTTTTCAATCACGAGCAACTTTTTTATATTCCTCATAATGTTTTTCTCACTTAGGTATCATATATCTATAATAATAAAAGCGTAATATGCTAATTAGACTGGATATCCTTCTGGACAACCTTCCAGACGAAGCCGGAGCTGCCAGGGCCAAGGCAAGCCAACGAGGCTGGGGCTGACCAGCGGGCGCAGCGGGTGGGCAGGGCTTTCCTCCGTGAGGGAAGCCTGGGTCCTGGGTCGGAGCCCCAGTCCGAGTGCTATAGGGAAGCTGGTGCCAGCAGCCAGGGGAAAGAAGGCCTACTCTTACATGAATTTTGTGCATCGAGCCTCTAGTAAATACATACATACAACACATACATACACATATACAGTATATACACATACATACATATACATACTTATATGTATACACACATTACATATACACACATTTCTATGCACCAAAGAGGATATTTTTTAAATATAATACAGGAAAAAAGTATATACAGCTTCATATGGCCATCCACCAAAGATTTCCAAATGGTACTAAAACCATGCCAATTCTAGGAAAAACAACCTGTAAAATCAATTCTACTTCCTCAATTGGATTAACTCAAGAAGTGAGGAGGGGTGTTGTTTAAAGAAAGGGAGAAAGGGAGAAAGAGCTAGCAAGAAAGAGAGCATATATATATACTGAATCTAAAATTCAACTATTAGTTGTTGTTTTTTTAATTACAATATTAAACTGGAAAAGTTTCCTAAAATGTGAATATAATTAATTTAAGTTACTATTCTTCCTTTCATTTTATCCAACAAAATCAAATGAGCTAAATCCAGATTATCATTTCTGATTATGTTTTCCGTATTCTTTAACACCCACGCCCTCAAAATGCATGTACACTCACTTGATCACAGTGCCACAGTGGACTTGCACAGCTTCTTTCAGTTACTTGTTTGCCACAGACACACTTTTGCCTACTAACTCTTGGACAGGGCGGACAACTTCCTAAAATCACAATTATAAATCAGCACTGATACATTATAAAAGCAATAGAGACTGCTTGCACTTTGACTAAAAGGTATGGTCTTTCACCTGCATGACAAGGATTTTCACATTTATGTTGTCCACAAAGCAACTTCCGCCCGCATGCCTGCTGACAGGACCATTCCTTGGTACTGCACCTTCGAGGGATGGGTTTTGCTTTCTTACAGTAACAAGTAGTTGTGACCATCTTTGGACAAGGAGGGCAGGGCCCTAGAATCCAATAAAAGGGGAGAAAAAAAATCAGAGGTCAAAGATAACTTCCGATTCCCATACCTGTTATTGATTTCTAAAGCTTTCCTTACTTATACTTTAAAAGGCATCCCCTTTCAATATTTAATTCTGTAAACTTAAGTTCTTAATTCAACTTTCACAATTTTTTTTTTTGCCTCAACGTACAAATAAATAACCACCCCCAAACAATTATAAATGTAATATATAACGTACCTGGATGACAGAGGAGCAAACATTTATGGCCACAAGGAGGTTTAAATTCTCTTTCACATACTTGGCCACATGAATGAGGCACAAGCCACGGATCTAAAGGTGGATCTTCAACTTTTCCACAATAGCAATAGTACCTACTAGGTGTGTCAGATCGTTTGTACTCAAACCTACATTTTGGACTACAAAGAAGAATTACAGAAGTTAACTTCATTTTAAAAAGTGATACAAGAGATAGGAATATACATATACTTAGCAATATGGTATACTCAATTAGCTTTATGTAAGGCACTCTGCTCCATTTTTATATTAGTGAAAAATAAGATTTTACTAAAATAAATTTCAACCATCTAGGACAGCTTTATCCAATATAATTTCCTGAGATAATGGGACAGTTTTATACCTGCCAAGTCCAATACAGTAATTATTAAACATATATGGCCAGTGAGCACTTGAAATGTGGTTAATGCATACAACTGTGCAAGGAACAGAGCTTTGGTAATTTTTAAAAATTTAAATAACCACAGGTGGCAAGTTGCTAATGTACAAAACAACATAAATAGCTAGATCCTTGCTTTGCCATGTAAGAGTAAGAGAAATCTGAACACATCATTTTATTTCAACTAACTTTAATATCCTCATTGGTAACATGGGAATACAACCTCTCACAAATGACTGAGAATTACTTTTACAAACTATTATACCTGAAATGTTTTTAAAAACTACATTCTATCACAATTTTATAAATACAGGGTGGGGCAAAAATAGTTTACAATTACAAATATGCGAAACACAGAGCTTTTTCTTGCATTAATTATTAGTACATTATTTTCCATACGAACAATGGCAAACCTACTTTTGCTCAATCTTGTATATCAGCTATGGTAACAAGAGGTCTAATGCGGATTCAGATTTTCTAAATCCTGAATCTTATATAATCTAGGGGCCTTTGTTAAGAGAAAGAACTGAAAATTACAAATATAAAATTACAAAAGTGATTATTTATGTGACCACACAGAGTCCCTGAAATTTCTGCATCATTACCTTGACAGTAAATCTACCTTTTTGGTTGCCAGTGTAAAATTTTTATTGTCTTTATTTAGCAGATTTATAAAATTTGTATTCCCCAACTCTTTCTGGAAATATTACAGAAGTTCAAGATCAAATCATGAATAAATCATATAAAATAAATGTAGAAAAATAATAATAATATTGAGTAATATACACCTATAGTTTTGAGAGATTTGGGGGATAAAATTGAAAAGCTTATGATCAAAATATATTAGATGACAGTTTTATACAATGTGATATTAATGTATACTAATATGAACACCAGGAAGGAAGTACCAGAATCATGAATTCCAGTCTTACAGAAAAGAACTTTTGCAGGGGAAAAATAAAGTCTGAATAATGTTTAATTAGTGGGAAATAAAAGCCATTACCAAGCCCCATATCTTCATAAGACTGCCAATAAAGCAACTTATGAGCCACATTTTCATTAATTTTACAACTTGATATTCCAAAATTAGAAAAATTACCAAGGCCAGGGATAATCTCTCCTTCCAAAATCGTCATCAGTCAAAGAAGATACCAGAAACTGGCTGTCTTTAGCCCACTTCTGGATACAGGGCATGTGAAATATACAGAAACATCCTGAACAACTCCAAACCTAAGACAAAAGTATCAGATATTAACACATATGCAATGATCTTTTTCTTTGATAATTACATAATACTTTAAAATAAGCACCATAGTAAATTATTTTCAAGAGTAAACTAAGGATTAAGAAAAATAGCCAGGACCGGTTTGGCTCAGTGGATAGAGCCTCGGCCTGAGGACTGAAAGGTCCCGGGTTCGATTCCAGTCAAGGGCATGTACCTTGGTTGTGGGCACATCCCCAGTAGGGGGTGTGCAAGAGGCAGCTGATCGATGGTTCTCTCTCATCAATGTTTCTAACTCCCTATCCCTCTCTCTTCCTCTCTGTAAAATATCAATAAAATATATATATTTAAAGAAAAATAATTTTGCAATGGCTGGTATGTCTTAGTTTATTAAGCATCATCCCATGCACAGAAAAGTCAAAGGTTCAATTCCCGGTCAGGGCTTATATACCAAGGCTTTGGGTTTGATCCCTGGTTGGGGTGCATATGAGAAGCAACCAATCGATGTTCCTCTCTCTCCTCTCTCTCTCTTCTCTCCCTCTCTCTCTCTCTATTCTTCTCTCTCTAAAAATCAATTTTAAAAAAAAAAATACATTATACAATTTTTCCTTCCAAAATAACAGAAGCAATGTTCTTTAAAGAAAAATATCATTAACCATCAGATTCATTCAGCTAGAAAAAACTACTGCTAACATTCTGGTCAGACTCTAATACTTTTTATTAATTTTAATTTTTTTTAATCTTTATTGTTGAAAATAATACATATATCTCCTTCCCCCCCATCTCTAATATTTTTAAAAATGTGTTTCATATTTTTTAAAAGGAGTCATGCCATACCGATATGTAATTTCATAATCTTTTCTTTTAATATATACAGTAAAGCCTCAAAATAATGAAGTAATTCAGGCAAGGGGATATCCTTTAAAGCCAAAAGTCCATTATATAATAAAGTAGGTTTTCTGAATGCGTATGTTAAAAATTAACAAATTAATCTGTTTTTACTTATGTAGACATGCTTGTGTAATTAAAATTAAGTATGTATGGAAAGTTTAATTTCACAGTTTTCTATATGCTTTACAGTAATTTTAAATTTATACTGAATAGGTCTAGTAAACGTGTGCATTCACCAGTCACCGTGAGTAAACAAATGCACACAGCTGGGGAGCGGCTTAGCACATGTGGGAACAAGGGCCAGCACTTTAAACTGCTGCAGAAAATCACACCATGGGACAATAGACCCAGTTACTGCCCTGGTGTGATCATATACTAATCATTCGCCAAACGCTATTGATAAGCGATGACTCCTGGATTTAAATATGTAGACTAAAGTTGTAGGTATGTAATATTTATGTTGGAAAAATTACTACAGTGTTTTGTCAAACATATGGCCTATTTGCTAAAATTTGTTAAAAATAACAGTGAATTAATAACATAAAAGTAACCTGTTAATTATAAGCAAATCTTGGTTAAAAGCACTTAAAAATTAACAGGGTGTTAATTTTCACATGACATGCAGACTGGAAATTTTGTCTACTAAATCTAAAGTTTGTTAAATCAAAATCAAGATCTACAAAATTGAGAGCTTACTGGGCCTCTAGTACTGCTGTAATAGCAGTGGATTAATCTGAGGTCTAAATGGTGAGTCTATCATAGTCAGTCATCACTTCCCCTTAATTGCTCCATTGACACCTTTTAAAATTTACATATATGTAACTTCACCATTAGGCCATCTCAACCCTAAGTACTACGTAAGTTATGTCTGAATCCATCTCTCCCCAATGATAATAGTCACTTTCCACCATGGCTTCAATATAAGAAATGCTCACTAATAAACCATGGTCATTGCTAGGTTCTACTTCCTTGAAAGCATCTTTTTTTTCAACCTGCTAGAAGTAATGAAATATAGTCCATTTGAACATTTCAGTATTTGTGAGAATCTCTTAAAGTACAAAGATATTAAAAATATGACATGAACATGAAAACTGAAGATACTTGCTTCAACTATATTAATAGTGCTAAATATATTGGATGCTCATTTAGAGGTAGTTTTTTTTTTAATTACAAATTTATAAAATAAAGGTCAATAAAATCCTCGAAGCATTTTTTAAACAAAAATAAGCAAAAACATAATAAATGATTAAGTATTATAAATGCAATGTAAGGTATTTGAGGGAGACCCATTAATACAGATGAGAATAACTTACTGCCTGGTTTCTCTTCACTGAAGCAATACAAATTAAGCATGTCATAGCCCCTGCTTGAAAAGCTTCATTTAAATACTGTCTCGTTCGCTCTAATTCACGTACATCTCCATCTTGAAATTTAAAAATTGAAAACTTCATGTTAAGCAACATATGAAAATAACACAAACTCGCTAATAACACTATATAGTACGTGAGAACTGTCTAGCAGTATCAACTGCTCAAAATACAGCTTAAAATCATAAGTTAAAAACCAACCAGCAAGCTGCCAAAAGGTCATAAAGTGCATGCATTAAGTCTTACATATGTGATTCAAACCAGTATCTTGGCCCTCTCAGAGCATCCTTGCTTTTATTGTTACAGTGCTTACCAAATTTGGTAGGGGCAGAGCCATAGACAAGAGCAGCAATATGTCAAGTAACAAGAGAAAGCACATCAAAGCAAAGTGAAAGAAAATGAATGTCAAAGCTCAACAGAGCCATTAGCCTAAATATAAGCACATGTATGTGTATGTGTGTGTGCATGTATGGGTGTGTGACACACAGCATTGTTTTTTAATAAAAACTTATTGAATAAAAATATCCTGAGGTCATTATTATATAACTAGAGGACCATTGCAGGAAGATTCCTACAAGAATAGGACTTCCTCGGGCCTATTTCTGCAAGAACAGGGCTTCCTGCTACCTTCTCCGCTGCCTCGCTCCCTCCTGTGTCTGCTGCCTTGCTCCCTCCCGTCTCCGCTGCCTCACTCCCTTCTCTGCTGCTTCATTCCTTTCTGCAGCACTTGGCTTCCTTCTATGCTGTCCTCAGTCTTCGCTCAGTGCCTGAGTATGCAAATTAACTGCCAGCTTTGTTGGGTTAATTTGCATACTCACTTCTGATTGGCTGGTAGGTGTAGCAGGTGGACAATCAATTTGCATGTTTATCTTTTATTAGTGTAGGTGACTATTTCTGCTTAAAAAGGGAGCATGAACTTCTTATAAAAAAACTATATTTTCTTAAGCAATTATTGAGTATTTATTTGCCAGATACTGTACTATTAGTATTTCAATAGGTTTAAATTAGCTACTTTTATCTTCATTTTATAGGTAAGAAAACTGAAGCAGAGAACAATAATTTCAGTCGACTCTTAACCACTGTGAGCCCCCTTCATCACTGTTACGCTGCAGCAAGGGATAACCACAGGAAGGTCCAAGAAATAACAGGTAAAAGCAACGTGAAAGGCAGAAAATTTAACCAAAGCACACATGAGACCAAAAAGGCAGTGATCTGAGTCACATTAGTGTAAGAGAAATAAACCTACATAACTTTAGTACAATAAAGATTGTTCAATAGAGATTGACTGAATAATAATATAAACTACAGAAATTATGGCAATAAAATGGTTCAAATCAAAATTTAAGTTACCAAAAAGAAAAATTAAATAAACAGGTTTCTTGGATAATTCTTTACTTTCTAAGATCATCTAAGGAAACACAGCATTTACAATAACATGCTCTACAGAATATAAATATAATTTAGGGTATTAAACAAAATATACATAAAAACAATCCCAAACTTTAAAATATTAAGTTATTTTAAAGTTTTAAATACAATTGTATCCTTAGAAGCTGACTTAATACCAATATTCTATATGCTTATTTTGCTTTTCTCATAGCTGGCTTTAACAAATGTTAATATTTTAAATTCCATCTTATTTATTTATAATATATTTTATTGATTTTTTACAGAGAGGAAGGGAGAGAGATAGAGAGCCAGAAACGTCGATGAGAGAGAAACATCAACCAGCTGCCTCTTACACACCCCCTACTGGGGATGTGCCCGCAACCAAGGTACATGCCCTTGACCAGAATCGAACCCGGGACCCTTCAGTCTGCAGACCGATGCTTTACCACTGAGCCAAACCGGTTTCGGCTAAATTCCATCTTATTTAACAGCTAACACAGAATGAGAACAAAATGAAATAGGCTTTAACAAAATAAATTCTAACCTTATACTTGTAAGATTTCTTTAAAAACTGTATTAAAGTTTGGCTGCAACAATACAGTATACTGCCCAAAATGTCATGGTGGATACATGACATTTAAAGTTATGCATTTTAAAATCATCATCCTGGCCGAAGCCGGTTTGGCTCAGTGGTAGAGCGTCAGTCTGCGGACTGAAAGGTCCCAGATTCGATTCCGGTCAAGGGCATGTACTTTGGTTGCGGGCACATCCCCGGTAGGAGGTGTGCAAGAGACAGCTGGTCGATGTTTTTCTCTCATTGACATTTCTAGCTCTCTATCTCTCTCCCTTCCTTTCTGTAAAAAAATCAATAAAATATATTTTAAAAAAATCATCATCCTGGCAACTAAAGAAAAGTAAGTACAAGGCAGCTAAAGTACCAGTTAAGAGGCAGTGATAGCAGATAAATAAAAAAATAACCTTTAGCAAGTTACCTAATGTATCTACCTCATTTTTCTCATCTTTAAAACAGTAATATTAATATCTATCTCACTGTTACTATGTGGATTTAATTCACACATTAAATAGCTGCAAGGGCTTGAATTAAGGTAACGCTAGTATATGGGAGAAGAGAGGTGGATTCAAGAAATTTAGAAAGTGAAACTCAGCAGGACTTAGTAACATTTATTATAGATTATGATGCTTTTAAAAGTCGATGTTCATGTCAACGGTAAGAAGGAAAGAATGCTGTGTTTGATGAGATGCCTGACATGGGGAGAGGGGAGGAGTGGTAGTGAATAAAACACACTCATGTCATGTATGTGTCATTCCTGCTCCCTGATTTCTGGTTTTGGTGCATGACTTGGAAAACTGTGGTGCTACAAATTGAGATAAAGAAAACAAGAGAAGAAATGTTATCTTTCAATATGTGCTTGATGCATCCATGGCCAGTAACACAGGGATACCCATTAGAAGTTGACTACGCAAAACTGAAATTTGAGAGAATCACAAAAGTACCAAGTCTGCCGAAACTGGTTTGGCTCAGTAGTAGAGCGTCAGTCTGCGGACTGAAAGGTCCCGGGTTCGATTCTGGTTAAGGGTATGTATACTGGTTGCGGGCACATCCCCAATAGGGGGTGTGCAAGAGGCAGCTGGTCGATGTTTCTCTCTCATCGACGTTTCTAGCTCTCTATCCCTCTCTCCTCTTCCCTATAAAAAATCAATAAAAATATATTAAAAAAAAAAAAAAAGAAAAGTACCAAGTCTGTGCACAGAGAAAAAGAATGAACTTCTCTGATCAAGTTCTGATGTCCAATTCACTAACATGAGATGGGAATGCTGGCAATATACTGTTCTTAAGTGATCAAATTTCCTTACTTACACAAAGGAACAAGAATAAAAATATTTATGGATGTGACACAAAACAAAATAAGAAAAACTGTCTTAAACTTTAAGATGAAAGCCAAATTAAAAATTAATAAAACTTATACATGAAGTTTCCTAACCACTACAAAGAAATACTGAGTTACACCTCTGAATTTCCTACTTAAAAATAAAATCTGTCTTATCTGGAATGCTTTAAGTGAAGTACTCTTGAAGCAGGCACCTTCTTAAGATTTCTTTCTATGAAGGCCTCTAGAACAGCAGTCACCAACCTTTCGGACCTCTCGGACCACCAGTGATCCATGGACCACCGGATGCCAACCGCTGCTCCAGAAGAAAGTACCTGCTAACCTTAAGGCTACTCTTTATCAGCTTTTACCTGGCTGAGCCAGACTTCTCAGTCAAGCCTCCTAATCTTAATTCCATAGCAGATATGGTAAATTTCTTGGAAACCTATAGGATGACGTGTACCTATCCTCAAGTGCCATCAATATACTCAAGGCAACTAATGTTAGTAAGACATGAAAGAATGCTTCTAATAATGACTTTAAGTATAAAATGTGGAAAGTGTAAAACATTTAAAGTAATCTATTTTTACACTTAGTACCAAATCCTTCATAGCAGCACCACTTTGGCCCCCTCTCTCGTAAACAAATACGACTTTAAGAGCAACCCAGATATAAACAACATGTAATGTGATTGTACGTGTCAAACCCAAGTACTTTGTTTTAAAAAAATGATATGAAAGTCAAAAGTTGTAAGGTATAAAGAAATAAAGTCATGAAATGAAAATGACTTCAAGACACATTTAACATGAGAAAAAAGTGAATAGATTTAAAGGATTCAAAGTTCTCAAATGCAATCAAATCATAACCAGGAATAGCTTGACGCCACTCATCCCACAGGGAGCGCTGGCGTCTCCCTCCCAGCATTCTAATGAAATACCAGTTTAACACACAGGAGACCTTCTAAGGCTGTATGGGACACTGTCATCCCATTTGTTTTACAGAAAGATCAGCATCATACAGTATGAAACTCAGATAGGAAAATGAACAAGTAATAGCTCTACTTCAACAAAAAATGCTCATTCTTAAGGTGCAAAAACTATTCTATATGGAGTAAAAGTGTTTTTTAAAAGCCAGGAATATAAATATGGTCTAAATTTAAAAGATCGTACAGTACCTGTTTGAGTAGTGTAAGTTGTAAATGTATTAGCAACTATTCTTCCCTGTTTTCCTTCCAAATCTTCATCTCCTTCTTCTTCAGAGGAAGAGCTAAAGTGTTCTTCAACAAGTTTTTTGGCTGCAGCTTGATTAGCCTTCTTGATTTCCTCAAATTTCCTTTGAGCCATTAGCTCTGCTTAAAGGGAGAAAAAGATGAGTCATTTCTGCAAAACAAGCTCTCAAAAGGCAAGTCCTAAGTGCTAATATATCATTTTAAAATATAGATTTAAAAGTCACCTTTGGAGCATTCTATTTTACTAACATCCATGAAAATCAGTAATCTCAAATTTCTTGTCATACAAAAATGAGGATGCCACAATAAAAACTTGCATGTTTGTAAAATATCCTGCTAAAAGCAGTGAATTGTCCTAAAAACAGTGACTGGCCCACCAAAGACTGAACAAATAATGTTCACTGTACTACGTTTATATAAGCTGCTGTTTAGAAAGCTCAAGAACTTTTCGCCTTTATTAAAATGTGGTCACAAAATATATATATTTAACATTAATCCACACAAAATGTTGCTAACACAGAGAATATACCTCTTACAACTTCATTCCAAAAAGAAATGCTAAGTTTTGAGTTATTCTTCCACTATTCTCTTTAGCACCATTTGTACTTCTCATTTTGTTACTGGGTTAAATAATAATGCAAAAATAATTTAATTACTTCATAGCACATTCCCAATGAGAGTGAACACTCAAGAGCAAGGACCATAGGAGTTTTTTTTCAGCACTAAGTGTTAATAAACTCTAATGGACAGCAACCACAGTTTTAAGAAAGGAGCCACAAACATACTGAATTGATCTGAATTAATTAGTGCTCATATTGAGAGGACTTTAAATTTACTAATTTAAAATTTTCACTTGGCCCTGGCCCAGGCAGCTCAGTTGGTTAGAGCATCATCCTGAAATGCCAATGTTGCAAGCAACCAATCCTATATAATAAAACCCTAATATGCAAATCGACTGAACATCGAACTGCCTGTGGAATAACCAGTCACTATGAAGCTCAATGCAGGAGCTGCCCTTGGCCCAGAGGCCCTGATTGGGGGAGGGAAGGGGGCATAAGGGCAGGCAATCGGACAGCGCCAGACTGCCTGCCAAGGCGGGTGCCCAAAGGTCACCCAGCAGATAAGCCCTGATGGCCAACCAGGCCTACAGAACCTATCCATGCATGAATTTTATGTACCGAGCCTCTAGTGAATGTGTAAATAAGTGGAACAAATCAATGTTTCTCTCTCTCTCCCTTCCTCTCTTTCTTTAAAAATAAAAAATGTTTTTAAATTTAAAAAAATTAAGTTACTAGTTAAAAATTCACTTCATGCTCGAAACCAATGCGCCACAACTAAAATAAGCCTTCTTATTTTAGGTGGTATTTTTATCTTTTCTTTCCCTTTCTTCGTACAGCCAGTTGGGTTGGGGACTGTGCAGTGTTTCAAGTAAAACTGGAGGAAAATGTGCAATGTACCCACCTAGGAATCTTATAGTACTAGGAGAAAAGCAATATCTGTAAGATATATGAATCTTACAGATGCCAGATGCACATCAAGAGAGATGACAAATCTCATTAATTATGGGAAATTAGTAAAGGAAACATTTTTTAAAAGGTTGAGTTAGAAGATATAATAAAAATATTCATAACCTGATCAATGTAACTACATAAGACGATCTAGAAAAGCTGACATAACAACCTTCCCATATATTACTTCTAACAGTAAAATCTCAATGATAGCACAGGTGAAGGATGCGAGCTTTTTTGCCACCCACAAAACCCAATAAGGTTTGCCGAAAAGTTCTCAGGTCTCCAACAAACCTCACCACCATCATAAACTCAGTAACTGCAAGCTAGTAGAATACCACCTAATTTTAAAATTCGTTTAGGAGAAAAACAAAATACAAAAGAACACTTAGACGCTCAATTTGCTTCTCACCCCACAAAAGAATACATTCAGAAAAAATACATCCCAAGCTCACACAGAAAAATGACTTCAGGAATTATTCCTGTGGCCCCACACACTTTCTTAGTAAACACAACCTGGTGTTGCGTGCATGCTCTCGGGCTCCACTAAAACACAGCCTTGCACGAAAGCTACGGACATATGGGAAGGAGGCCACGCCAGCTACATCCAGGAAAAGGACCAGAAGTCTGCGAACAGGAACCAGGGAAGTACCACCACCGGAGAGCTGACAGGACCCAGACAGTTAAAAGCCAGTGAGTAAAGCCATCAGGTGAAGATGGTCTTTTCCAGAAGCAGGAAATGACCATGTAAACGCGGTGCCTCCGCTCCATCTGAATGGGATGTCCACAACCCAGTCCAGCTGGCTGTTGCCATCGCATTTTACAAGAAAAGCTGAGCAGATGTGTATGACATTAAAACACACACACACACACACACACACACACACACACACACAACAACAACAACAACAACAACAACAACACACCCATGAGAACCAGTTCAGATCCCAACCTGTGTTAACCAAACCAAACTACGGGTTCGGGCTAAACCCTCCGGACAACCATTTGCAACTTTCGGTCCTAAAAAGTCGGCAGGCAAAATGAATGAAGGGAAAAGTAAGAGGGCAAGAGAATTAGCAAAAACATGAATGACCCATCAAAATGAAGAAAAAACACTTTTTGAATTAAGATACAATGAAGATGGGAAGGTGCCTAGAATGCCGGAGAGAGGAGCTGGCGGAAAGGTGTGCGAGGTGGGGCCCATTCTCCGCGCCCCGGGGAGAAGACCAGGTGTGAGTGCGAGCCCCGGCGAGGGCGCCCCGGCGCGGCGGGCGGCGGGGCGGCGGCGCGTCCTCACCTCCCGCGGAAGGCGGCGGCGCTCCGGGCCCCGCGGGGCTGCGCCGGGCCGCGCTCCCTGCGGCCGCGGGGCCGGGGCCGGGGCCGGGCGCGGCGGCGCCCAGCGGCCCCTTCTCCCGCCCGCCGCCGGCTCCGCGCAGATGGGGTCCATCTCCTGGGGAGGGGGCCGCGGCGGCCCGGCCGCGGGCTCGGCCCCGGCCACCGGCCACCTGGCGCCAGGAAGCTTCCATCCCTGGAGGGAAAAGGGAAAAGAAAAGGGTGAAAGGAGCTGGAGTGCAGGGAGAAGGGCGGCCTCGGGGAGCAGGGCCGGAGGAGGAGGTCTCCGCGGGGCCGGACCGGGTGAGAGGACGTCGCGGCCCGGTCTCCCCCCGAGGGCGAGCGCCCGCTGACCCCGGGCTTTGGAGAGGGACCCGGAGGGAGAGGACCTAAGCGGGGAAGTGGAACGTGGGGCCAGGAGCATCCAGCGCCGGAGGAGAAGGAAAGCGCTTTCTCCACCTCAGGAGGAGCGCCCCGAGGGGAGGGAGAGCCACCGACGGACCTCGCCGCTCCCGCGGGGAGCCAAGAGCAGGAGTGGACCCCAACGCGGGATACGTCTCCTTACCGACCCAGTCAGTCCCCAGCGACTACAACTCCCAGAAGCCCACGGCCACGGCCCCGCAGAACGCGTGGCATCACTGGCCACTTCCTTATCCGGGAGTGGCGGGGCGAGGGCGGGGCAAGGGGGAGGAGAGGGAGTTCTGAGCGCATGCGCTGGCTGAGCTGGGCCTCCGGAAACTACAATTCCCGGCGTGCTCTGGGTCGCCGTCGGAGAGGGCGCCAGGTGCGGAGGTGGGTCGCCCTGAGACGTTGTTTACACCGGAAGGTGCTGCTGAGTCCCCGCTGCGCCTTAAACCTCCCTGAGAGGCCGGATTCTGTGGGAGCGGCTGTAATTGGCCGCCCTCCATCTCTACTCTGGCCTTGTGGCTTTCAGCTGGCGGAAAACTTCTCACTTGGATAGAAAAAGCTCTTAATGAAAACACGGGTTCGAGGGGAAGGGAGGAATGAGGGGGTTCAGCGAAAGGGGCTGGAGGGGAGAAAGCACTCTTCTAAATCGCTAAAGCCCTGCAGAGGATAAAGCTAACGCCTATTAGACTAGTGCTTTATAATTGACACTGTGCTTTTCCTGAGCAGGCTGATTTTTACCTGCTCTCTAAAGTAGAAAAGGAAAGTAGGAAAGTAGTTGAGAACCAGGACCTAAATCTCTAACTTCTGTTAGTTTTCCAGTAAGAAAGAGATTTCAAAATCGGGGTGAAAGAGGGGTGTCTGAGATAGACAAATACATTGATTGCTTGGGACCACACAATCCTTATACAACCCTTTAACTTAACCCCTCTACGTTACTAATAATATCTAATACTTAGATAGCATTTATTAAGTGCAAATATATATATATATATATATATATATATATATATATATATATATATATATATATATATATTTAAAAAGGTAATATGCTAATTAGACCGGATATCATTCCAGATGTCCTTCCTGATGAAGCCAGAACCAGAGGGAAGCCAGTCCGGGTCCCAGGTGCCTGCTGGGGGCAGGAGGAGGGAAGCCCAGGTGCCGGGTACTAGAGGAAAGTTGCTACCAGCAGCCACGGGAAATAAGGCCTACTCTTGCACAAATTTCATGCATTGGGCCTCGTGTGTGTGTGTGTGTGTGTGTGTGTGTGTGTATTCTCCAAAGGCAAGTTACTTAATCTGTGTCTCAGTGTTCTCAGCTGTAAAACAGGGAAAATATGTGTACATATGTAAAAACTAAAAATCTATATACATTTATGACATGTGTGGTTAACTATATGCTGATACACCTCAATTTTTTTAAAATTCTAAAATAAAGTATAGAAAAAATCTCTAAATACTTTTATTGTGCAGCCATTTGAAAAGTGTGATTTAATTGCATTTATTTGTCCATTCATTAATAAGGATTCTTTTTGCCAGCATATCCATACATGCTCCCCAAATACATTTGTCCTTGACAAATACATCTAACTGTACTAGTTATCAGTTTACTAGATGTCTGGCGCATGAATTAGCGCTCCAGTGGAGTCCCTCGACCTGGTCTGCAGGGATCAGGCCAAAACTGACTCTCTGACATCCTTGGAGTCCCAGATTGTAAGAGGGTGGTTCTCAGGCTCCCTCAGAATTGTACCCTAGAATCAGGCTCCCCCTCTGGTTCCTGGTGTGTCACCAGACAACAGCAGCTGCCAAGTCACTGCAGCTCCTGCATTGAGCATCTGCCCCCTGGTGGTCAGTTGCACGTCCTAGCTATTGGTCGGAGGTTGAAGGGTAGGCTGGTTGGCCCGTTGCTTAGACTTTTATATATACAGACTAGAGACCCGGTGCACGAAATTCATGCATTGGAGGGGGGCCCTCAGCCAAGCCTGTGCCCCTTCACAGTCTGGGAACCCTCAGGGGATGTTCTGAGGCCTCGGAGGCGGGCCACTGCACTTGCCCCCTGGTGGTCAGTGCGCACCATAGCGACCTGTCCTCCTATTCGTTCGATTTGCATATTACCCGTTTATTATATAGGATAAGTCTATTTCACAATAATTTCTTTTATATTTTCTTTTTCAAAAAGCATTTGAGGGGCCACTGTTTGAGATGCTTACCTGAAACTTTCTACTGGAAGAAGTTCAAGGTTGCAGGTAGAGGGAGCAAGATAAAATGACTTATTATCCCAGAGGCAGAAGGTTACAGCCTCATTATCCCATTGAACTGAATTCTTTTCTTACTGACTCCTCTTCTTAAACTTCTCGTTTTTTCCTCCTATTGTCTCTTTTTCCTGGCTCATCCTTTTTAAAAATTCTCTTGAACACATTTTCTCTCTAATTGAAAAAAAAAAAAAAGTATTTTCTTTTCTGCTCTCCTTTTAAAACTTCTTTTTCTCTATCCCTTTTTCCTCACTCATGTTACTCTTCCCTCCCCTTCACTCTCCACCCTATTCTATCCCATCCCTTCTTTTACCCTCTATTTATTGACCACTTTTAACATTTTTCATTTCTTCTATTTCCTTTTCTAACTCTCTACTTTTACTATTTACTGGTTTCTCCTTTTCAAATCAGTTCTATTTACCTGTGCATCTATCTATCTATTCATCCAAACACCTACATAGCTATCTTTATTGTATTTTTTTATTAACTTTTTTTAATCTTATCCCCTTTACACACAATTGTATTTGACTTCCTTGTTGGCTTCTCCCTCTCACACAATTTTCTCTCTCCTTTATGTAACACTTTTCCCTACTGACTCATTTATGAACTTTACTTTCCTCCTTATTTCCTACTTCTGTTCCATCATCCTTCTCATCTTTCTCCAGCCCTCCCTCCCTCCCCACATTCCTTCTTTCCTTTATCTTTACTCCTTCTCTCCTCCCCCTTTCCTTCCTTCCCTTCTTAATTTCTTTCTTCACTTCCTACCTCAGACCTGCTTTGCTCCCTCCCCCATTTCTTCCTTCTTCCCATTCTCATTTTAAGCTCTACCAACTCCCCTTTAAAACTTTTCTTCCTCCCTCTTTTTCTCTCATCCTACCTTTCTCTACATTCTTCTCTACTTACTTCCACTGTTCTAGTATCTATCTACCTGTCCAATTATTTACTTTCATTTATCTTTTCTTCTTTTCTGACTCCTACTTTTAAAATCTGTCCCCCTTACACAACTATATTTGATTTTCATTATAGCTCCTACAGTTAACTCATACATCCTTTTTCCTTCTTTAACTCTGTTCTCTACTAACTCCTTTATAAAGTTCTTCCCTCCCTCCTTCCCTTCTTGTCCATCCTCCCCGCTCCTCTCTCACTTTTACTCTTTTTACAGGCTAATTAAAAATTCTATGCTTTTCGTCCTGTCTTAGTACTGACTTCTCCACTTAAAAATCATAGTCAATAAAAATACATTTTTTAAAAATCACCCTGTACTTCATTTTCTTACTAACTCCTCCTCTTAAACTTCCCTCACTCTCACAGTCAGTTTCTTCTTTTTATTTAACTATTCTCCTGGCCTCACCCCATTTTAGCATCCCCCTCTTTCCCGCTTTCTTTCCCTCTCTCCCTGTGAACCTCCTGCGGCCCCTCTCCCTCTCTCCCTCCTCCCTTCCCTCCCTTCATTCCCAGTGTCTATCTCCTTCTTACTCCTCCCACTGTCCCCACCATTCACCTTTCCCTTGTGATCCTGAACCCTGCCTCCCTCCCTCCACACCCCCCTCTTCCCCTTGCCATGTTCACTAGTTTTTCTTTTAAACCTTCCCCTTTCTTCTCTGGGACCTGCTTCCAGCCCCACATGAGCGCACTTTGATATTAAAGCTTCCCTTTGGGGGGTGTTAACTCCCAGCTCAGGGCCCAGTCCCAGTCAGGCCTTCACCGACCCCCTCTTCCTCCAGTCCTCCCCACTGCTGTCCTCCTCCCATTCCCTTCCCGGGACACCCCAACTTCCAGTCAACAAAGTACACTTAATGCACCACCAATCTAACCCGGCCAGTGTCTTTGGGGTCCAGCCCTCCTTAGTGTGCAATTCCACCCCAGCTAAGCTGTGCCTCCCCTCCCAGCGCAGGGTGCCTGGCCCAGCAAGGGTGGCTGAGGCCTAGCTGCTGCCGCAAAGCAGGACCACCTCTAAAAAACAGAAGTAAAAAATGTGGTCTCAATTTGGCATTAAGTAATCACCATGGGATTCAAGAGAAGGGTGATGACATCATGAAAGGTTTTTCAAGAAAACTAAAGTAGAAATACCAATAAAATTTGAGCTAGAGAAGTGCTTGACGGAGGATGGCTACGTAGAATTAGAATTATAGTCGCTATGACTCTCAGTTTACAAACTCATGTGTAAATAATCATATTTCAGTAAACATAACCTTGTAATCAACTTAGTTTGAACTCTGAGTTTTGTCTTTCCCAGGATTGGTTGGAAAACTTATGATTTTATTAATTTATTCAACAAAGATTTATAAATCCCTATTATGTCCCCAGGACTCTCTAGGCATTAGAAATAGAGCAATTAATGAAATGACTCCATAGTGGCAAAACCTAAGGTTTAAGGTAATTAGTGCCAGTGTATTGTTTGGGGGCCTGAGACTCAGACTGGGAGCTCCAGCCCCAAAAGCTCCAGGTCTGGGATCCAACCTTCCCCATTGCTCTACTTGGCTTGTTTCCTCGGAGGAACTGCTATAAACTTGAGGGGCTGCTCTGGAGCAC